TACAAAAAAAAAGCTTTATATTTATTTGTTTACTTTATTAAACATTTCTTTCAACGCGCGCATACGTAAAGCATACATTACGCATAATTAGAAATTAGAAAATTGCAACCAGAAAGCTATTTGATGTGTATTCGTGATATTTATAATGACGAATTTGATTTAAATCATATCAAAGACCGAGTAACATCGAGATGAAATACTACTTTTAGTAAGGAATTATAAGCCGAATAAAATAAAAACATCTGCCCTGAAGATAAGGATAGTGCTGACAGATCAACTTCCAGTTCATTGCGCGCCGCGTCGTTCCCCCCCCCCTCGCAGAGCAGCGTGAAATTGATAAACATATTTCGGAATGATTAGAGAATCAAAGGATATGCCTTTATCCATTTTTTGCAGCAATTTTTTTATGGACATCGGAACATGTTTTCGCTTTGTAGATCCTTTGGTGGCTCCAGAATCGGAAATTCCTTTTGACATAATCGAAAGTTCAAGCTTACTTTTATAAAGTTGCTCTAACAGTCTGCAAAAAATAATAAGCCGGATCCAATTAGAAGATTAAGGAACAACGCAACCTGCAACATTACCTGAAATAGATAATTAGATCATTTTAGCTTAGCTTGTACCATCCGTTATCCATTAAACGTGCATGCGTAAAGGTATTATGCGCATGCGTTTACTCACTATGCGTTGACGCATGCGCAGACAGTTTGTAGCTTTGAGATCCGGATTATAGATCATTCCGGATTATAGACGTCCGGATTAAAGACTTTTGACTGTATATCCTAAATAATGTGAAGGAGATCTGTTTTCACAAGCATGATCCCACTTCATCAGACTCAAAAAATGCAATGCAGGACACAGTAGATAAGGCTTATTCGCCATTCTGTTTGTGTGAAAATCTGTGCTCTTCTAATATTCGCTGAAAATAAACGTATAAAGATACTGATTAACATTATTTTTAGTTCCTTGTACGAAGCAAAGGAAGTATTGTTATCGCGAAAAATTTTGAGTATTATGTTTCAACGGAAATATGCATTTTGACCGCTATCGAATGCAATTTAACGATGTTCCTGAATATGCGGTGGCTATTTTAACAAGGAAGTTCCGTAAAGTCTTAATATTACAGAACATTCATATTAATAGGAGATAAAAAATGGAAGTAAAAAACTAATTTATGATTAAGTTATATTTCTGCATATATCTCTTTTCATGGAGTAATTTCAGTTTAATTTAAACTCCTGTATATTTCCCTGTGGGGCGCTGTACCCTGAATGACAGCTATTAAATTTCAGAAAAAAAAGTCGAAACGAAATAATTGTTAGTTCTTCAACAATTATTCTTTCTTCTTTAATTCAGATGAATTTATTTTTACTGCTTTTATCAAAACTTTCAGCGTCGCGCTTTTTTTTTTTTTTTTTTTTTTTTTCTCATTTTTGTTTATATCGATATTTTGCTACATGTATTAAATACAATATAGAATGTAAAAAGATAAATTTAAAATTTATATAAAATCTATTTTATTTTAAATTTTTGGGCATTAAAATTCCATTCACGATACAAAAACTGTTCTGTTTTCACGCTTAGATTAAAGTTTAGAATTCGCAGGAATTCAGGGTATTTCTGCAGGTAATGTGAATACTCGAAATTTGAGTTCTTCAAAACAATAAAGATTGTTATTGCAAAACTCGAAAACACGATACTAAAAATTTTAATATGTTGTTGCAAGTCATCGATATTAGAAAGTCGATCGATATTAGAAAACTTTTATTGTTTGATATTAGTGATTTTATTATGTCATAGAACTGATGTAAAATTTTACTTTTTTAATGTAAAACTCTTTACATGTATTAGCTCTGGAATTGTCACACTTACCCAAGTAGCAAGACACGATCGAAAAATAAGATTATGTAGACTATGGCAAAGCATATGAGGGGTATATGTCTAAGATTATTGATGTCTTTGTGAAGGCATATTCACATTACAAAACCACTAAACCTCCTATGCAGCCATCTGATAGGTCGGGACGTCAATCCGAGTCGAATTACAAGCATTCAGCGATTGTATTGCTTGGTCTTGTTGTGCACTAGGATCGAAAGAACTGTAACTGATGCAAAGAGTTCTTCAAAGCTTGCCTGCCTAGTGCTTAGGCATATGTACTTGGAGATATCTCCATACTGTTTGGATATATGTACTTAGATATGTTGGCTTAACATCTGTGGCAGAATCAACAAGGAAGTGGGTCCCCCCCCCCATTCTTGGAACGTTCGAGCTGTGCGCAACTTGAATAAGACAGTGGCAATGTATATTGTTGCATTTCTGTACGGGTTGTGGATTTGGAGTGAATAATGACGACACTTGATGAACTATCAAAACACAGTTTATTTACCAGTATTAATTACACTTTCAAAAACACGTTTACAGTCGCCGAAAATCTACGATAAGCACGCTGAAACAATGAGCAAATACAGCCTTCAGGCTATAATGGTGAAGACAGCTTCACGGCAAAGCACTAGAGTACAGCTCCTGACTCGGTTCAGTCGTTCACGGAACTCGACGTACTTTCGAGACTCTCCACGCTACAACTCGCGAAGCACTCGATAGCCTCAATGACAACACACTCTCGATGCACTACGAGACCACTGACGAGACACTAGACTGACGATCAACTCGATATACTCACTATACTCACGAACGACTAAGAGAGTCTCTTGACCGACTGCTACTCCGCGTACCAGCAGGGTTTACATAACTTTTGGCTTGCGTTCGAGAACATTCTGGGTCAAACCGATAGGAATTTGTTCCAGAAGGTTCTCCATGCGTCTATAGCATATCGTCGATTTTGTTCCCAAATGGGCGATCTCGCGCGAAATAAGGTAACCCTGCCATCCCTTGCCAGTTTTGGCAACATTAAACCCGTCTTGCGGGGAAGCTATCTTATCGCAGCTGGACATTTCGCAGCAATACAATATATTCGCGTATAACGGCCCTCCTTCGTTTATTTCAAATGCTCGGAATCTTGTATCTCTTGCTTTCAGAGCGGTTGTCTCAAAGAATAAGCCATGCATTTCGAACTACATGCCATAGGGCTCTGCACTGAATTTTACTTATATACCAGAAAATACAAACGCTAATTCAGTATAAATGTATAGCGTTATTTAACTAAATAGCGTCTTATGATTTGCAATCGAATATCTCTGCCCTTACAGCCGGCTATGCTATAGCATACGAGAGCTAAACATATATGTAGCTATCTACCATATAAGTTTCACGTTGTGATCGCCGTGTAATTTCCATCTGATGGCAGCTCGAAAGTATGCGACGCAACATAGTCACAAACATTCCTTTAAACTTATACCAAACATATACCGTTTAAGAAGTATTTATGACATGCTGTATTAAGATTTTGCTTTTGTTGAAAAATTAAACCTCGTTAAGAACATATCATGTTACGGCGAAACCGGGTTTGGTTTATTGAAATTAAGGTAAAGCTCACTATGACTACCTGCCTGGGGGGGACGAAGCCGTGATTGTTTAATTCAATCATGATTCCGTGAATCATACTAACTATTTTCGCCGATATCGCAGCAAAATCAGCTGATGTTACCTCTGAAAATGATGTCCATTTTACAGACATACGGAATTACATCAAAGCAAAGATCTTGTCCAGGTGGCAAGAACTCTGAAAATGCCATACACTAAACAAATTAAAACAGGTAAAACCCAATTTGGGGTTTTGGGAGTGAAGAGATGATCGAAAGGACTGCTGACTTGCCGACGAATTGGTAACTGCAGACTGATACATTACTATCTCTTGAAAGGAGATAATTAGCCTATTTGTGGCATTTGCAACGCTCCCATTTCAGTCAACCCTATTTTAACCTGCTGCCCTGCTCTTAGAAACGTGATTATCGTTTTAATTCTACGAATGTTAACTTAATAGATCTCATTGGAAGAAACCCCCGCATCAACCTCATAAGATTTCTAAAAGCTCAACCTCATAAGATCTTTTTACCATATTATTTAAGTTATTTTCCTTTTATCATTCTCTACCTGTTGCCAGAGCATTTCTCACACTCATTTGTGCATACGTTCATCAGCATTACAGGTATGATAACAATTTATTTGATACAGTGTGTTTGTGCATTTGGATTTTCTTCACCATTCGTCTGGCGCATGATAACCTTCAAAGTTTTGTGCCATAAAAAGTCAACCAACTAACCATACCTAACTATTTGATTAACAGAGGTGATTTTTAGTGCTCATACATGCAGCAGAACTCTGACTCTCGGAGACAAGCGCTTTTATTAGACCAAACTCAATTGAACTTCGTGTCCGTACTATGTGGCGACTGAATAAAATCAGTTAATAGTCCAAAAGGGCTTTGTCCTTGAAGGACTATTGTTTTCGTTTTGAGATTTTGCGTTGAATGACTATAAACGGCGAATCGCTTTTCAAACTGTTGCCACCCAATGTTAGAGTTCTGCATTATATTTAAAGAAATTAAATCATGAAAATCTGCAAAAAATGTATGCATATTTCTCGCATTGTGATAAAACAACGGTACCTACAGCCATCTAATTTTGAATGACGTCATCCTCCTACGAATATGGGCGTGTGGAAGACCAAATTTGAAATTTGGAATTTGTTTTATGATCGATTTCATATTTTGTAAAACTTTAACGAATTTTTGATTAACAAACTCAAAGCGAGCCATGGCAACGTTGTACAGAAAAAAACATTTTTATCTCCAGCGCGCGAGTCTCTGTATTGGAAATTCTAAAGATTTGCTCATTTTAAACTACGTTGCGATACTGCTGTTGAACTAAATTTTATGGTTTAAGTGCTAAGAACATGATATTTAATAAATAAATGTAACACACAAAATGTTAAAGAAACGCCCCTTTGGACCTAATTTAAAATCTGAAACATTTCAGACTTTTTTTTTTTTTTTTTTTTTCATTTTATGTTAACTGTCTAAAATTGATGCTTCAATTTGATAGGGCGTGAGATCACGTAAATGCCGAAGTAATGGAGAATGGAGTGGAGAAGCTCCAATGTGTGTTCCTGTAAGCTGCAGCCAGCCGGAATCAATTTCTAATGGAAGGTAATTCGAAAATCACGATCATTTCAAACATAAAATATGTTTTAAGAATGAAGAAAAATGATATTTTTCTTCTTCAGGTACAGTGGCAGTGACTGGACTGTTGGTAATACAGTAACTTATAGCTGCAATCCTGGATATGTTCTGATTGGCGAGGCAGACAGAGTCTGTCTTGAAACTGGCCAGTGGCTCCACGAAGTTCCCAGCTGCGAACCAGTCGAATGCCCTGTGCCTGATGATATTTCTAATGGATACTGGAAAAGTGATGGTCGGAGATTTGGACAAAGAGTTTCTTATTTCTGTGAGGATGGATACCAGCTGATTGGCCATACTATAAGAGTTTGTATGGAAGATCAGCAGTGGGAGCCTGACCCACCAGAATGCAGACCGGTGACCTGTGGCCCTCTTGCTCAAGTATAAAAATATTTTAATTTAGTAAATAGATTTCGAAATTTTTGTTGAAGAATTTAATAGTGTTTGAATAAATTTACAAAATATTTAAATTTAATAAATCTCGAAATTTATATCGCAGAATTCAATAGTGTTTTAACAAATTAAAAAAAATATTTAATTTAATAAATAGATCTCGAAATTTATATTACAGAATTTAATAGCATTTTAATATAAAATTAAATATTTCGACAGCATTAGGAATTTATTTTTAAAAAATTAATTTTTTTGATTTGCTTTCATTTTATATTTTTTGTTTAGTAAAATTAAAACGTTATCTGAGATGAATATATCAGAAGGATTTGGATTATAAAATTAAAACATAAAATTTGCATAATTTATTTCCTTTATTTCTATGAGATATTCCTGCTATACTTTGAAAAAACAATGAGTCAGTGTTTGTTCATTAAGATGTTCCTTGTTACGTAATATTGAGAAAACTGCAGGTCAGAGTTTGTTAATTTCTGTTATTGTTACTTATACTCACTTGTCTGACCTATAGTCAGCCCAAGCCCACGAAAATTCCTTCCGGCAAGCAGCGCAAGATTACGCCTGTCGTTGGCAATAGACTTGAGCACCTTACAGGTTACAGGGCGATTTAGTTCAGTTCCGGCCCCAATTTTGCTCGCTAGCAACGTGAGGGGACGGGTCCGAGGGTCTCCCCTCCCTCTCCTCTTCTGCCAGTACACATGAAAGGACTTTCCGCTCGCTGCGTATTTAGAGTGCCGCCATGCCTCACTGACACTATACATTTACAAACATCATTTACAACAATACTTCTCCGGGATCCGAACCCGGGCCTTTGGACACGTCAGGCAGCGACGCTAAAAGCTATACCGTTTGGGCGAGGCTTGTTAATTTCTGAATATTTTATGCATTACTTGCAAGAAAATAGTGATACTAGTATTTCAATATACTTTACATATTTTAGTGAATGTTGTTCTGATTATACAGGATATCCAAATAGAAATAACATTTCTGAAATAAACCCGCATATCTAAGCACGTGCCATATTGTGCTGCACTAAATTTTACTCACAATAATTAACAATTTTATTCACAATAATAATAATAATTCATCACGAGAAATTACTATGTGACATATTATTAACTTACAAAACAGGAAAGGCAGTACTCATATTGGAAGGCTTGTTTATAGGATACTGAGGTATCGGAGCTTCAGAAAATGGAAACAGATGACTTCTAGAGGTGTAGGAGAGAGAGGAATATATGATCATCTGGCTGATACTTTGTTGGGTTTTGTATCCAGTTCATTGTGTGCAGATTCCATGTATCTGCCCCAACGTCCAGATACGAGGTTTTTCATGTGCTTGGCTAATAGGAAAATAAGGCTTTGGTTTGAAATAAAACACTATGCTTTACTAAGACTGACACACGTTTTTTTTTTACATTGCACAGTTCTTTACATGCAATCAAAACATACTGCAAAATTGTCTGATGCCAACCTGTCTTCTCTTTCTTGGTTAAAGTCATGTTTTTTTTGTTTTTTTTTTCCCTGAAAGAATAGCAAATATGAATTTATGAAGAGAAATATCACGAGATAATGAATTTGATACGAAACTGAATTAAAAAAAGAATTATTTTTACACTGGACAGTGTATTCGAAGAAATTACAAAGAGACTTCAATGGCTTCTCTTTCTTTCTATGCCTTCTGCATAGAAACATTTGAATGAAAAAATGCGAATCACAGTTGATCATGATCTGAATGACATAAATGTAAACTCGGCGTCTAGGGGATTTCTACGCTGACGACACACATTTAGGTGACTTAGTATTTATTTAGTTATTGATGGAGATACAGTGATGAGTATTTACAAATGAAAAAAAGAGTTATAATTGAGAAGTTAACAGGTTCGCCATCTATTAATACGTCTTAGTCGAAAACATGACTGTTCTCTTTCGCTTCCCTCGTCCATCTCTCGTCTCACTGCAATGCCGTTCGTTGTGTTGAGTTGTTGCACTCCTGCTACTCACACTCGGGTATCCTGACACGACAAGTCCTCCTGGCGATGATGGAATTACAACAAAATCTGAAAAGAGTAATTAAAAAAAAGAAAAAAGAAAAAAAAGTTCGTTTGGATATACCATCTTGGAACGTTCTGAGAAAAAAAAAAAAAAAAAAAAAAGAAGCGTCGTTTGCTTGGAGTGTCAATAGATTATCCTGGAACGTCTTGATGGAAGAAGAAATGTTATTTCTCCAGACCGTCTTGAATGCTCAAGTGTCTTTAGGAGCATATCTGGGAGGGACATCTTGGCGAGGCAAAAAAAAAAAAAAAAAAAAAAAAAAGAACATCTTAATAAATCTTGTATATATAAAAATTCTTTGTAGAGAGGGAAAAAACTTTTCAACTGATTAAAAAAATAATGAAGAGGAAAAAATGAAAGGTAGTAAATGAAACATGAAAGGTAATAAATAGAATGTCCAATTGTAAGAGTATATCAATTCTAAATTAAGAGTTCATTGTTGAAAAGGCCATGGTTTCATCAAATCAGTAGCTGTGGAAGTTGTATTCGGACTTTCATCTGTTCCGGCTTCTCTACCTCATAGCGGTCATTTGGTTTAACAGCTATGACTTTGTAAGGTCCAAAAAATCGGGGACGGAGTTTGATTCCAGTTCCAAATTGAGTACGTTGAAGTGCGACTTGATCACCAACTTTGCATAAGTTTGGCTGTTTGCGGCGTTTGTTATATTGACGTCTATTTGCTTGAGATGTAGTGCTATTTATGATTCTCTGCACAGAAGCAACATGTTTAAACCACTTTTCGGTATCTTCTAAAGATAGCTTAGTTAAGATGGGAAGCAAAATACCATGCATGCGTCCAATCTGTGCATTTGCACGTGGAACGCCCGTAGTTATTGTGATGTGTTCAATATTCTCATCATGACAATAGGTTTGAAATTCAGTTGAAGTAAAAGCTGCACCCCTGTCTGAGATAATGCGTCGGGGATTACCAAAAGTTGTTTGCTGTAATTTCAATTTGTCGACAGCAGCTTGAGTGGTTGTTGATTTAACAGGATAAAGCCAAAGAAACTTTGAGAATGCATCAACAACTGTAAAAAGATATTTGTAATTCTTGTTTGTTGACGGCAGTGGTCCCAGAAAATCTATATGATAAGTATCAAGTGGTGTATCGCCTTTTGGAATCGGATGAAGAAAACCCTTTCCGCTTTACCAGCCTTTCTGGAAGAAAGAATGCAGGGTACGCAGTTCAAAATGATTTTTTTAACAATCGCAGATAAATTAGGGATGTAATATTCACGTTTAATAATGGATTCCGTTTTGAGAGCAGAAAAATGACCTTTAGAGTGAACATTTTGCACTATTTCGGTTTGCATTGCCTGAGGTACAACTAATAGTTCTTGGTCTTCAACTATTTTATACAGAACAACACCGTTCTTTAAGGAGTAGTCATCTAAAGGGTTTTTTCTAAAGTATGTTTGATCCCCGTAATGAAGTCATCACTTGATTGTGCGTCCATAATCTTTTGAGTGACACTGTCAATGGCAATTAACATGACAGGGAAACGACTTAGAGCATCTACATGTTTCATAAGCTGTCCAGAGCGGTGTTTTATTGTGTAATCAAAGTCTTCAAGGTAAAGAGCCCATCGAGCAATTCTGGATGTGTTATGTCTTTTTTAGACATAGTTTTTTTCAAAAGCAGCGCAATCTGTAACAATATCAAATTTTGTTCCGGCTAAATAATGTCTAAATTTTTTAAGGGCTTCAATGATGGCTAGGATTTCTAGTTCATAACTGGAGTATTTCTCTTCTTTCTCTTCTGGTGGTAGTTTTTTCTTGCTCATATAGTAAATTGGGTGGAAGGAACTATTAGTTCAACTCATTGCAAACTTTTACATCAGTGCTTTGTTGCAAGAGAACAGATCCGTAACCGTATTTACTTGCGTCACAATGAAGTTGAAGCGGTAAACCTTGTTGGTAAAGGTGCAAAACAGGATCACTGGAAAGTGCTTCTTTCAGTTTTAAGAAAGCGTGCTGTTGCGCAGGACCAAACTCAAAAGGAGTGGACTCACGTAGTAAGTCACTGAGGGGTTTTGCAATTTTGGCATAATGTTGAATGAATTTTCGAAAGTACCCAGTTAAGCCAAGAAAACTTTGAACCTGTTTAGCTGTTTTGGGTTCAGGAAATGATTGTACAGCGTGTGTTTTGGATGGTGAGGGTCGAATGGTGCTATCTTGAATCCTAGGAATTCAATTTTTTTCTTAAGAAAGTGGCATTTCTGAAAGTTTATTTCTAGACCATAGTCTGAGACAAGTTAAAGCACTCGTCGTAATTTTATAATTCCGTCGTCTTCGTCCTTAGATGGAATAATTATATCATCCATATAAATTATAACAGTCTGATCACTAATGAGAGGTCTGAATAAGGTATTGATAAATCTTTGAAAAACGCTAGGAGAGTTGCACAGTCCAAAGGTAACTTTAAGGAATTCATACTGGTCTTCATGAGTAACAAATGCAGTGTATTTACTGCTTTGGGGATTCATGGGAACATGAAAAAAGCCGTTCTTCAAGTCAAGAGATGTAAAGATCTTGGAATTCTGTAAATTATCAAGAATTTGCTCTATAAGGGGTAGATGAAATTTGTATTTCACTATTTTCTTGTTAAGACGTCTGTAATCTATACATAGTCGGTAAGATCCATTTCGCTTTTTGCAGAGGACAATAGGGTCAGCAAAATCGGAGCAACTAGGTTTTTATAATTCCTTCGTTCAGCCACTGCTGGATTTGAGCTTTTACAATACGTTGTTCGGCTATAGATAAGCGGCGAGGACGTTGACTAACAGGGATTTCATCCGTTAAAATTAAAGACATTTGCAAATCAGGTGTTTTGGTTTTATTAGGTTTGTAAGCCGAAACTAGGTGTTTGATTTGTGTGCGATGATCTGGATTGGTAAGATGCGTTAAATCAGGAGAATCAGGTTCATCGAAAATATTTACAATATTAATTAGAAAATTATGGTCAGGAGTTTCTGCTTCTATTACTCGGCGTCTAGGCGATTTCTACGCTGACGACGCACATTTAGGTGACTAAGTATTTATTTAGTTATTGATGGAGATACAGTGATGAGTATTTACAAATGAAAAAAAGAGTTATAATTGAGAAGTTAACAGGTTCGCCATCTATTAATACGTCTTAGTTGAAAACATGACTGTTCTCTTTCGCTTCCCTCGTCCATCTCTCGTCTCACTGCAAAGCCGTTCGTTGTGTTGAGTTGTTGCACTCCTGCTACTCACATAAATAAGGAAAAATTCTTCGCTGAGAATGAAATACTTCAGAGTTTTATTTCTTTGCTGCTTGCGAAAACGAAACCTAGAAGTAGATCCCTCGCTTTGAACTTTTACAGTGTACTCAAAAATACAATCGCCGAAAAGGAATTCTAGATACGAGTTTAGCTTGTTAAAAATATCCATTTCGACTTCGACCGCTATCGAATGCAACTTAACGATGTTTTTGCCTGACATCTGCACGTAAGGACAGAGAGAGTAAAGTACTCTTTTTCCCAAAACGAATTATAAACCTGATATGAAATGGATTCAGAAGAGATTTTTTTTTCGTGGCGTCTGTACGCACGTACGTATGTATGTCTGTACGTAGAGTGGAACATCGAGATGAAAGTTTAATTCGTTCCAGCATTTGGCTTGTAAAGCTTATACATTCTTCACTCTCTGTCGTCAAATCCTTTTGATTTCGGAAGGACTGACGAACCAATGATCTTGTTTTTCCTCTGATGTCGTTCCAGATATAACGAATCAGAAGATGTAAAATGCTACTGAAAAATCAAGAAGGCGTAGCTAATTTAGTCTCAAGATTTTTCCATCAGAACAACACGTCATAATGCTCTTGAACTCTCAACTGGAGAGACCCTCGTTATCAGGATCCTCCCGTCATGAGGACTGTACTTTACTTCAATAACTCTTCTATGCTATCTATGAAATTTATATATATGCATATATGTAAAGAACTTCTCGTGATTCTGATAAATATGTTTTTGAGCTCAGAAATGCAGTAAGTACTACACAACTTCACAAATGTACAAGTTATTATACGAAGTCAGATGCGCTATCTGCCGCCAGCCACCCACAAGCGGTTCACGAGAGAAACAATTTTGGTGCACTACTAGATTTTTTTTCTCTTTCTTACTCAAATTTAGACATTCACTCGCTATTTAAATTTCATCGAATTTGCATTCTGCTGAGAATGGCTGAAGTATATGTAACAGGGAAGAATTAAGATGAAAATAACTGTTATTTAAAATAAACCTTTCAATGTAGGAATATGCACGTAACGCTTGCGTTTCTTTTGTTAAAGCTACAAAGTTCATTCGTTTTCAAATTTATTCCCTCACATTTGATTAATTTTATTAGCACAAAGGATGTCAGCCTAGAAAGGCTTTTAATTTCGTTTTGGCATTTTGTGTCAAAAGCTTTGAAAGTCTGAATCACTTTTCAAACTGCCAGATATTATCGCCCTGTATTATATTTAAAAGAAATTAAATAATGAAGAATCTACATAAATGTATGTATGTTTCTCGCATTGTGATAAAACAACGGTACTTAGAGACATCCAATTTTGAATAACGTACGTCTCCACCCAAATATGGGCATCTGGAAGCCCAAATTTGGAATTTGTTTTATTATCTATTTCATGTTTTGTAAAGCATTTATGAGTTTTTGATTAAGAAACTCAACGATTTCAAAGGGAGCTATGGCAACACTGTAAGGGGGGAAAAAACGTTTTTTTTTTTAATCTCCTGCGAGCGAGACTGTGTATCGGAAATTCTATAGATATGCTGTTATGCTATTTTGTGATATTGCTGTTGAATTGAATTTTGTGTGTTTTAAGCGCGAAGAACATGATATTTAATAAATAAAGATAACACACAAAACGTTAAAAATACGCGTATTTTTATACGAAAAAAAAATACGTATTTTTAACAAATTTTTAATTTAAATCTGAAAGCTTTTACATTTTATTTATTATTATTATTTTCATGTTATTTATGTTGTTGCATTTTCGTTAGCTTAAGTTCAGAGTTTAAGACAAATACATTTTCGTATATCGCACACTCATTAGCAGACACTTTCTGATAACGAATACAAATCTTGGTTCCGTAGATGGCGGCTAAGGGTAGTTCCACTGCAGTTAGCTTAAGAAATTGTAGCTGTCAAATTTAAATACTCTCGAACATTTAATTCTAATACTTTTATAAAAATCTTCCTGATTTTCTTTCTACAGACAGAAAATATTATATTAGAGACAACGTCATTAGTCTTTAGAGGAGAAGCAAAGTACAGTTGCCGTGAGGGATTTCGCCTCGAAGGTGCTGAAGTTCGCAGATGTCTGGCTAATGGAAGATGGAGTGGACAAGAACCAACTTGTGAAATTATACGTTGTCCTGATCCCCTTAAAGTTTCGCATGCCTATCTCATTTACTCAGATAATAGGTGAGTGTAAATTTCAAACGGATGTATTTTACGCAGAATTAAAAAAAAAAAAAAAAAAAAAAAAAAAGATGTAATTTGAAATGTATGTATTGCAAAATACTTAAAATCGTACAATGTACTATCCCTTTAAAAATGCTTTTCAGTTTAATAACTTCAACTATGCATACTGCGCCAAAAAAAAAAAGGCGCAACTTAGGACATTTATTAGATTTATATAGAGCATTGTTCTAACGTACGTATTTTATTTTTACACAAAATCTGACTTTTTCTAAAATGACATGCCAATTTTTTTCCATATATCGATCATCAAATTATGCCAAACTACCAAGTTTTGTAAAAATTGCACGAGTAGTATTTAAAAATTTTGCTCTCAAAATTTTAGCTAATCCATGTTAATTGAATTTTATCTATAGGTATTAATATCTTTTTTATTAAACTTATTTGATTCCTTCTTCCAGAATTCGAAATTTAGGTTTATTCCAAATAAAATTCACCCATTTTTTTTTTTAAATTTGTATTTTAAAATCATTTTTATCAATTTTGTGAAAAGAACTTTTATTATAACCTATAGAATTTTTACCATTATCTTAAAGTAGATGTATTTCTAAGCATACCTGCAAAAAATTAGAGATTTTTATTCAAAATTTCGTAGGACGTATGTGATTTTACATACTGGCGCGTTTTGAAATTTGGCATATTAGCGATAAAAACACCAAATGTGGTTTGTTAAAATTGTTTGAAATAATGAACGATGACTTTTTTTCCGCTTGTTTACAATTAAAAAAGGGAGAGGAAAATAGGTTGCTATAAATTAAGAAATTCGCCCGACATTAGGTTATTTTAAAAGCGGAAGTGATGAAAAATGTGTAACCACCTTGCCGGGAATCGAACCACGGACCTCTGGAATACGGGAAAAGCGTGCAGACAGCTACACTATGAAGGCATGCTAAGAAGGCGGGAGAAATTTCTTATATACTCCCCCTTTTAAAGGGCAACTGGGGATTAGGGGACCCAATCCTCAAATCCTGTGGGTTGAGAATCATCACCCACCACCCTTTTAGTTCGGGCGCCACTGTAGAGACATTAGGCAATTTTTGGAAGCAGGAAAGATGAAAAATGAGCAAACGCCTTCGCCGGGAATGGAACTGAGGACCTCTGGAATACGCGTCCAGCGTGCAGACCACCACACCACGAAGGCATGCCGGGAGGGCGGGAGAAATACCTTATAATTTCAGTTCCCAATTTATGTATATTTTTGTAGCCGATAATTATTTTACCCAAATTTTATTTACTGTTTAATTAAAAGCGAAAATTTGTTACTAGATACGGTTCTTCGGTTGAGTATTACTGTGACGAAGGATACAAACTCATCGGTCCTGCTCAAAGAATTTGCACTGGCCGAGGAGAATGGGACGGAGTCGAACCACAGTGCGTTCTTGTCCATTGTCCACTACCTCCAGTTCTTATTGATGGTGATATTACAGCTCAGGATACTACTTACCGCAGTGTGGCCCATTATGTTTGCCATAAGGGTTTTGAATTAAAAGGTACAGCAGAAAGGGTCTGCTTGTCTGATGAAACGTGGAGCGGAACAGATCCTGTTTGTGTGGTGATCAGGTGCCCAACTCACAAGCTTCACCTTGATAATGGTCGCATAATAGGTAAATTTTAATATATTTATTTATAAAAAAATTAATTTATATATATATATATATATATATAGGGTGATTCTAAATGTTTTTTACAATTTAAGAGGGGTAATAGTACTCATCCAGATGAGCAATAATTACCATAGACATAGGGTCCCATTCCACTCAGAGAGGCAGAAAAGAGGAATATTATAATTCCAACCTGAATTTACAACAGTGTTGGGAGAGCGAATGAACGAGACCAAAAGCTGCGCAAATCAGTTTAGTGAAAAACTCACAAAGAGTGCACAAAACGGATAAAACCGAAAACTTGGCTTTCGAGTGTTAATTTGAGCTCAGACTTTGATGGCAAACACTCAAGTGCACATCTTTGGTTGGCAAGGTCTCAATCTTGGAAACGATTGCAACAAGTTAATTATCTAAATTATTAGGGGAAAATCATCTATTAGGGGAGGGGGACTCAAGGTAGCAGTTTTTTCCCCTTTGCCATCTTTTATCCTGTCCTCCTGGACTTGCTATTCTGCGCTTATTCTACTCGAAGCGCCCCTCTATGGGACACGAAGTTCTGACAGCCGGAACACAGCATAAACTTTTCATGCTGAATTTAAAGTTTTAATTTAACTTTAGTTTAACTTCAGTTTTAATTAAATTATAATTAAAAAATTTTATCAATTTTTAATTGATTTTATTTTTAGAATTTGGAAACATTAACTTTCTGTTTTGTTTGCATTATTAGCATTTGCCATCAACCTACTCTATAAATTTCCCTTTTTACAAACTTTACATTGTCGTTCATTTTTTCGCGCAGAACTTACGTTTTTACAATACCTAACGCAGTTTGCAGCTTCACACTACTCAACTTTACATAATCTCAGCGCCCTCTGTTTTCGCTGTTAGCAGCCAGAAACTTCTCAAATTTACATAGTTTAGCAACTTTTAAAATATAATAACGTGGTAACATAAGTTAAATCAAAAGTAACCATTTACTTGCCTTTTTGTATTGTTTTAGATTGTATTTATTTTATATAATATTTCATTTATTATTCTTGCAACTTTTATGATGTTATTAAGAAAAAATTTTAGGATTGTATTATTTTTTCTTGTATTGTACTTGCACTTTATTTATTTATGTTTTCTGAATTTAATGATAATGGCAAATTGATTCCCAGGAAAATTAATCAATTTATTTTGTTTGCAATTAAATTTGCAAAATTTAAAATTTTTTTGTTTCCTTTATATGAATGAGATTATAATATTGTATTTATGAATGTATATATATATATATTATATATATATATATATATATAATAATGTTTGGATTAATATGAATAATTTTTCCCATGAGAGATGATCGGTAGCGTTATTTATTTTTATGCACTCCTCTCCCATTTATTCCGGGGGTGGATGAAGCGGGCTCTGCCTTAAAGAAAATAAATAAAAAGGAAAAAAAGTTAACTTTGTTTATTGCAAATTTTGGAAAAATTAGGATCAGAAACTATCAACGTAAAACGGTCTACAGAGAATGCAAAGTATAAATGCGCAAAACCGCTCTTTTATGGGCTCGTATTAAAACCGTTTGTTCACTGAATTGAATGGGTTCTTTTTTATGATCCACTGTTCGCTAACAATAACACTGATGAGAATGATCTGGTATGAGGAGTTAATAAAGAGCAGTTCGCGAGGATGGAAGAAGAGCGGAAAGGATGGAACAAGTAGTGGGATCGGAAGAGTCGACGCAATCCAAAGCTAACTTCCTCAACTGATTTCTTACGGCTGTAGTTTTAATATTCTCTAAAACCTCCGTTCTAAAAAAAAATAACTATACAATTCTAGATAAAAAATTTAACGTTGGGAAATGACAAAATAATACTTTGAGAGAATAAAAATTCTTTGCTCTGTTAAAATAGGAATCGAAGTTTATTAGCACCCCCCAACAAGAGCACTCGGTGAGTGGAACTGTAAAAGAGATAGGACCCCCTTTTGTGCAATGACTGTTCATTCCTTCAGTGAAGTGAATCAGTTCTTTGAATCGCTTCCGAAGCGAGTTATCGAACTCTAATATAAAGAGAGAGAGAGAAAAAAATGCCAGGGCTTTGATAGCAGAAAACATTATAATATTTGGGAATTGTTTTTAACCACAACTTACGTAATTTAATTTCACGAAATCCGGACTATATATATACTGTTACATCATTTGTTAAAAGTAAATTGCAATCAGTTATTAAAATAAAGTAAGTGTATAGTCATTAAATCTGAACTGAGTCCTGTTGCTATAAAAGAATAATATAAATTAAAACAAAAAGCACGTGCACCAAGAAGTGACAAAGAAATAATAGGTAAGTAGAGGAAGAAAAATATAGAGATTCAGAATGGAGATGCGAGCTCGGGGAAGAGAGGTAGAATTTTTGGTATGCACGATGTGTCGGTTTTAACTAGATATTTATTTCTTAACTTGGCACCACTAAAACGCTATCTTCAAATACGAAAATAAATTCAAATACAGTAAACCCGTTTAACACGAACTCGCTTAAGATGAACACTCGGTTATCATGAACAAATTTCGGTCTTGCCAGTGATGCGTATGATCTTGTAGGGAATTTTATCGGTTAACGAGGATTTCGAACTACGAACTGTTTTCTAGTCTGTTACGTCAATAGATTTTTTCATTTAACGCAAACTTGATATAAAGGTTCACTTTCTCACCTCGAATGCAACAAGTCGTCTTCAACCTGTGGATCAAGGTATTATTGCCCTTATGAAGAGGTCTTATGGAAAGATGGTAAGCGCAACTTAGAGTGTACTTGATGCAATAAATGCTAACGTCACATTCTGGAAATCCGTCTCATCACGGCACATACCGTAACATACCATCAGAGCACATTACTATTTTAGCAGAGCCTGGAGTCATAAAGACGCTAATCCCGTTGATCAGTTAGATGGTGATGCAGATACCACTTGACTTGACGAATGGATACTGCAAACACTGGTGCAATGGACAAACTGGAGATTGGAGTGGTACAAAAGACACTGCAAACACTGTTGCTGTCTGTACTCCAGAAAGCAGTTGTGTCTGAGGTGCAAGCAATATCAGAAGAAAGTGAAAAGGACAATATCATTTCGTTCACCCGGACAATATCATCATCTCACCACCATAATCCGTAAGTGTTATACGTCTTGGGCACTTAAGATTGTTTTGCAGCAATGAGCACAGTTGGATGTGAAGTTACCGGACATTTTCCTTTTCGTCTGCGAAAGGGCAATATGCAAGAAATTTCCCCCAGAAAAAGATCTGTGAGTATATTTTTTAAAGTGACAGCGCTGTAATTAATGTAGCACTGTAGTGATTTTTATGAAGACATACATGATATAGTGTAGCACGTATGTAACTATATAAATATATAGTAAGTATGTAACTACGTATAGTTAATGTGCAGGAAAAACTATTCCAAAAAGAAAATTTGAATCCCCAGTTAACACGAACTGTCGATTTTTCGTTCCTTTGGGATTCGTGTTAACAAAGGTTTACTGAAACTAAGAATACATAAATGAAAGTAATTCCATTTAATTTGATGACTTATCAATTTTTTTAATTCCATTAAATTAAACTCCTTCCACTTTTACGAAAGAAAACCAGGAAAGGTTCTCGTGTGTTTTCAAATAACCTAACCTCCGTTTTATACCTTTATTTCACTTTTTTCATTTTGTAGCTTTAGATTGTAATTTTTCCTTGTAATCTTTTTTTAAAGTCTTCTGTTTTATTATTACGGTAAACACCTTGCCTATCTAGTAGTGGTAAATGCATTTTTGGTGTTTTATTCTCATGTTATGTAAAATATTTGCATATAATTTTATTTCCTGCTGGGAATAAGAGATAATCCCTTTACTTTTCTGCTAAATAAATGTGCTTACTAAATTTTAAATGCACTTAATTTGCTTGATAAAATCATTATTAGCTCAAAGGGCTATTAATTTCGTATTAGCAATTTGCGGTGAAAACTTTAAATGCAGGTACACTTTTCAAACTGTTGCCACCAAATATTACAGACTTGTATTATATTTAAAGAAATTTAAAAATGAAGAAGCTGCACATATGTATGTATGTTTCTCGCATTGTGATACAACGCCAGTACCTAAAACCATCAAATTTTGTATCACATACGTTTCCATTCGAATATGGGCATCCGCAAGCCCGAATTTGGAATTTGTTTTATTATCTGTTTCATATTTTGTAAAACTTCAGCCAGTTTTTATTAAGAAACTTGAAGATTTCAAAGCAAGCAATGGCAACACTGTACAGGCAAAAAAAAAAAAAAAAAAAAGACATATTTATCTCCACCGAGCGAGACTGTGCATCGGAAATTCTAATGATGTGTTCATTTGAAAATTATTCTGCCATATTGCTGTTGAACTAAATTTTATGGTTTAAGTGCGAAGAACATGATATTTAATAAATAAAGGTAACACACAAAACGTTAAAAAAAGGCCCTTTGGACGTATTTAAAATCTGAAAAATTTCAGATTTTTTTCCTGTAATTTTTATTTATTTATTTTTTGTTATTCTTTTCTTCCCTGAATTTTAGTAGTGATAAATTAATGTTTAAAATATAAAAGTTTCATCCTCCAGGCTTATTTGTCCAAATGTACCTGCCTGCTTCATTAAGACTTTTCCTGTACTTTTTACATATGAAATAGCATTCTAACTCTTTTCAGGAAAATCTAATGTGATTGGATCAACAATGCAATACGAGTGCGATGTGGGCTATGACTTGGTCGGTGTAGCTACTCGAAGCTGTACTGAGAATAAAACATGGACAGGTGTGGAACCTTACTGTAAAAAAGTTGTTTGTCCTGTACCTGTAGCTCCAACTCATGGTGAAATAGCTTGGAGGGGGCACAGGTAAGATGAATTTGCTGTAAATAATTTAAAGACAATGTATATGTATAAGGTGTGCTCCCCCCAAAAAATGCAAAATGGTAAAAACTGTAATATCTATTTAATATATCCATTAGAAAATTGAAAATATTTTTACATGCTTACAGCAGGAAAATGTTTCGATTTAAGATCGTTGAGTTTGATTTAATTTGACAACACTGTCATTTTACCATTGTCGTTACCAAAGTCATTTCTCAGTTTTGTTACAGCTTAGTCAACTTAAAGAGCTACACAAAGGAACAGCGAGTTTTTATTGTAAACACTCATTAAAAGAATGGTGAGTGTTAAGCACAGACTTAGAAAGCTACGTGCAATTTTATAGCTCGAAGACACTACTACTGAACTGAAGGTACTCCACATAGACTCGACGATACACTGCTACTCCGCGTACAGGCAGGGTTTATATAGCATTTTGACCTGCCTTCAAGAACATTCTGGGATAAACCAGTAAGAATTCGTTCTAGAAGATTCTCCTTCCGTCTGTGTCGCCAAATGGACGATTTCGCGCCAAATCTGGCAACCCGGCCATTCCCTTGCCATTTTCTGGAAATCCCTTTCTGGCTTAGCGGGGAAGCTATTTTACCGCAGCTGGGCATTTTGTAACAGTATTTTTTGTAGTCTTAATGCTGGATTAACTGCTGCGACACACCTTGTTACTCGAAAAATATAACTCTGTTTATCAAGCCGAGCTCATCGCCGTCCTCTATCCCCTTAAATGGATATTGAAAAGTAATTTTGCAAGAAATTCTCACTTTTATATTTTTACAGATTGCATGTCTTGTTTAAATGCACTTTATAATGCAGAAAATAATAATGGTCTGATTATCGATATTAAAGATCTTTTCCAAAAACTATCTTATCCTTTAATATTAAGTTTGGTTAGGTTAAAGCCCATATCGGAATATACGGTAATGAGAGAGCGGATGTACTCGCAAAAGAGGCTGCCGTAGGGAGTGTTTCGGGGACGCCTTATGTTCAGAGTTCAAAAAAAATAGCAACTAAAGTTATTTATTCGTTTTATTTTAAGCAATGGCAGTTACAATGGAATTCTTCTAAAAGGAAAAGTCGCTATTTGAAACATTTAGAACTCATTAGGAAAAAAAAATTATCTTTAATGATTTTGAAGTTAACCAGTTTCTGACCGGAACATGGGCGTTTCCCGGGATACTTCGCTAGGTTTAAGATACAGAACGACGATAAATGCTAACTATGTGATCTGTTTGGTGATGCTAAGCATTTCCTCGAGGTGTGTCCTTACTTTTGAATAGCTTAAGAAACAATAAAAATATTGATTTTAAAAATCCCATTTTTATGCTATAAAGATTTCGCACAGTTATGTAAATCTGCGTAGATTAAATTTATTGAACGGTAAGCGCCGGGCAGTGGGAATCAGTGTATGATATTTGCATTTTATTGCCATCACTAATTTGGTATATTTTAATAATTTGTTGTTACCATTGCTATGTGTTTTGTTATTCGCTTTTTTTTCCTTGTTTGTTTTTGTCTTTAGGTGTCTGCTTTTGTCTAAATGTTTGTATTTGTTCCTTTTCTTCACTTTTATGCTTATAATTATTATTTACACATAATTATTCTCATTTAGATATTTTATGTTTCATTTTTTCATTTGTTGAAATGGGCATGGCCTGTCATGACCATAAGACCAACTTGTTTGGTTAGGCGGGTCGGGCTGTGCCCGCTACTGATACTGATACACCTTGTTACTCCTATTGAAAAAAAGAGGCTTTCGGTGTGTACTTGGAGTGTATCAGTTTATGATGTTTCTATAAGTTGAGAAAGTTCTTCTGGCATAGCATGATGGTGTATGCTGAGCCACTCATTGCCAATAATCGACCAGACGTGTTCGATAGACATTATTGGGAGAATGGACAAGCATTGCTAGAGACAAGTTGAAGAGTAGTTGACTAGACTTGTGTCGAATGGAAAGAGAGTGCGCGCTGTCACTCTGTATCAGATAAAAGAATGTCTGGAACAGCAAAAGAAAATATGAAGAATCAAGATGGTAGAATGAGATATTTCACTTAGCTGCCATCAGTCGGCGAAGAAAGATGAAATGAATGAAAATAGACCAGCAATGTGAAAAAAAGTTGGATCAGTAAGGTAGTAGGTACTTCAAATAATTACCAAAATGTTAAGTTAGAATATCCTAAGGATATTTGTGTTTTGCTCTAGGAAAAGGTGAGCATCGCAAAGAGCTGATACAGCTGTTTGGATGTAATAGTACACAAAGGAAAAAAATTTGTTGCAAGTTTTTTGATATAATTTTGTATAGTATCAATTTGAAGATATCTGTGAATATATGAATTTGGGATGAACCAGGGTGCATTAATAATTTCACGAAGGGTTTTATTTTGAATAACTTGGATCTTTTTTATGTGGGTTTTAGCGGCGTGTTCCCATACCGGACTGGCGTAAAGTAGTAAAAGGCTGTAAAGTAGGTCTAAGGTTTGACTTGTATAAAATAAGCTTATTGTTGATAGTCAGATTGCTATGTCTGCCGAGGAGAGGACGCATAGTAGCTGTTGAGATATTGAATTTCCTGACAGTTTCGTGTAAATGTTGCCGAAAAGTGAGTTTTTTGTCAAGTGTGACTCCGAGATACTTCACTTGATCCGTCCACTGAATTTCGTCGTCAAAGAACATGGGATTATGCGGAAGGAAGTTTGTTTGTCCTTTTCTGAAAATAATGACTTTGGTTCTGTCAATGTTAACGGCAATTCTCCACAGCGTCATCCAGTTTTCAAGAAGCTCCAAATAGTTTTGTAGAAAAATTTGTATGCTGCGCATTTGATGCGGTCGTCACGGTCACGTTTACTTTTAACACATGGCTATTTTAAAGACTTGAAATTAAGTCACATCCAAAATTTCAGAGATGTAGCGGCGGCTGCAATAGGCAATGCGTTTGTGACAGGACATTTTTATACTACTTCAAAATAACGCACGAGATTTGCATATGCGCTGTGAATTTTATCATTTGTTTTATCGAGGTTTATGCAAAGTCCAGCTTTCAAGCCTATTGAAAGCTTTCTTCATGGTGGTCCACTTTTGTAATTAAAGTAAATTCTTCTACAATTATTTTTTAATTGAAATTTCTGATATTATATCATGTTGAAAGTCATAAAATATTTTAGGAATTCTGATATGGCCTAAAATTACTTCTCATGCTTCCATAAAGTTTGTGCATGTTTTTTTTTTTTTTTTTTTTTTTTTTTTTTTTTTTTTTTTTTTTAATAATTAATTACATGAGCTTATTTTGCTTCAATTTTCGTTCACTTGATCTAACATCTTTTAACAGTTTTAATAATTTTATCTAAAGATTTCAAAGCTTTATCTTAGAAATTAAATTTTTAAGACAGTTAATAATGTTTTTAGTTCAAAGGGGCAATTTGTTTAATTTTGTTTTGGCATTTTGCGTTGATTCAGTACAAGCGTTCTTTCAATTTTCAAATTGTTGTCACCCAATATTATCAGCCTGTATTATATTTAAAAAAATTAAATAATGAAAAAAATCTGCATAAATCTATGTATGTTTCACGCATTGTGATAAAACAACGGAACCTTGAGCCATCGAATTTTGAATGACTTCATCCTACTGCGAATATGGGCATGTGGAAGCCCAAATTTGGAATTTGTTTTATTACCGATTTCATATTTTGTAAATCTTTAACGAATTTTTGATTAACAAACTCAAGGATTTCATAGTGAGCCATGGCAACTTTGTACAGAAAAAAACATTTATATCTCTAGCCCGCGAGACTCTGTATCGAAAATTCTAAAGTTATGCTGAATTTAAAACTATTTGCGATATTGTTTTAAGTGCAAATAACGTGATATTTAATAATAAAGGTAACAGACAAAATGTTAAAAAAACGCCCCTTTGGACGTAATTTAAAATCTGAAACCTTTCAGATTTATTTTTTATTTTTATAATATTTTTCTGTTGCTCTATTAGTTGTATGTAAAAAAGTACCAGTGCATACTTTCCAGCTAAATCTCATAAATCAGTTTTGCAGATACTGTGTCAATATCATGCTTTGAAGGCTATACTCTTGTTGGTGATGGAACACGATCTTGTCTACCTGATGGAAGTTGGAGCGGATCTGAACCTCAGTGCAAACCTGTTGAATGCAGTCCTTTACCAGAACTTAAAAATGGCCGAACAATCATTAAATCTTTGACTTTCGGTGGAAAAGCAGAATATACTTGTGAATCAGGTTACAAGTTAAGAGGGACACGAAAAAGAACTTGTAAGGCAGATCGTACATGGAGTGACAGAGAGCCTGTTTGCCAACTCATCTTGTGTCCAGACCCACCTACAGTACCTAATGGATATGCGGTGACTCCTAAAGAGGTAGTGTGTTATTAAAACTCATTTAAAAAAAGATTTAATGAGCTACTTAACGTTCTCTTTTGAACTCCGTAAAATTATAAATAAGATATAGCATACAATAAGATGGAAATTCAACGGAAAAGAATAGCTGCCAAAAATCCATACGGAAACAAAAAATATGTTAGTACAAGTAAAATACAAGTAGCTAATTATATACTTCCAAGGAACCAGTAAGTATTTCTCTAATTAGTATTTTTAAGCAAGTTTATACAAATGGCAAAGATGAATGAAAGATAGCTTAAAGAGAAGTCAACGTAGCTGAAAGAGATAGCATTGAAATTATCTTTAACTCTTTGAAAACCGAAACCCTATTAACCTGTATGTTTAAAATACCAAACGCCCTAAATGCCTTTTGGCAATTCCCTCTCCTCCCTATTCATTAACGCACAAAGAGATCTGAAGATTTCAAATGACGTTCTTTCTGCTTTCTGACAGATAAAGATAAGGAACTACAAATAAATCCTTTTAGGACGAGCTGTCTGCAATAAACTGATAGAATACATTTGGGGAAACTAAATCTGTTACTGCATACCTTAGGGGGAGGGAAGAAAACAAAATCGCCTTTTCGGTCGGTCGTGGTCGTTTGAATGAAAGGCCGTCTCTGGCGCTTTGGTCTTCAAAGAGTTAACACAGGAATGAATATTACTGTTTCAGTCCTAAGAAGCTGAAGGATCACTATTGTTCAAAATTCACAAGTTCAAAGATAGAAGCACCCAGCAAAATTGCTGAGTTTGCTGGGTCTCATCTCTGTGTGGTCGCCGCAGTTCTAAATAAATTTCCAGCAGTGTTTACAATGGGAGATTCGCTGAAGCATAGCCCAAGGAGCTGCCATTCTCCTTAACATGGGAATGAATATGACTAATTTGGTCCTAAAATTTGCAAACCATTAGCGTCAAAAATCTACAACTTCAAAATTGAAAACACCTAGTAGAACTTCTAAATTGCTGATAGCATGAAAGCTACAATCACTGAGCTAATAATGAACTCAACGGTACTTCAGTCTGCAAATAGGTTGAACTAACTGATGGTTTCTCGCAGACCCTGTTGCCAGAACATCATGGGACTGTATTATTAGAACACTGCTTCTAGAATTCCAAAACTGCTTTTTCTAGAAATATCCAAAATTTCACCTTTAGAGCGACAAACCTCTAAATAACGCCAACTTAGCAACAAAAAGGTTTCTTCAAAACTGGATAAATTTTAGCATCCCATGAATCTGGTTCTCCTTAAGCTATTTTTGCAACTATCCGGAATTACAACTTGGCAACTTGGCAAATAAAAATACGAGTGCCCTCACTTTGAAAAATATATTAAATACACGAATACGCGCCGAGCGTGCTGACCACTGCATCACTAAAGCATTCTAAGAAGTCGGGAGAAATACCTTATATACTCCATCTTTAAAAGGGCGACTGGGGATTAGGGGACCCAATTGCCAAATCTTGGTGGTGGAGAATCATCATCTACCACCTGTTTTTTGTTCGGGCCCCACTGTAGAGACATTAGGAATTTTTTTGGAAGCAGGAGACGTGAAAAATGTGCAATGCCCTCACCGGGACTCGAACCACGTATCCCTTGAATACGCGCCGAGCGTGCTGACCACTACACCACGAAGGCATGCTAAGAAGGCGTGAGAAATACCTTATAAGTCCACAAAATATATTATGTTATTTTTACAAATTTTTTTGTTATTTTTATCGCTGAAAAATAAATCCATGTTTAAAGAGTACCGGAATAAATTTAAGTTATGTTTCAGAAAGTAAAATTTCAATGAAAGAGTAGAATAAAATATTTACTTGCGATAGACTTTATGACGAGTTAAGGACAATCTTAAAAAAACAGCATTATATTTTATTATTGAATTTAAATGTTTCACACTGAACTATGAAAGGTTGTTTCAATTTAAAAAATTAAACTTTCTGAATTAGTCTGTTTGATAACATATGACTGTCTCATTTCGAATAATTCTACTCATATGGAGTGTTTATAAAATTATACATATAATAACTTTTTAAAGGATTTTAATTTTTTCTTGTGTTTCAGAATTTTACTGTTGGAACGCAGTTGGAATATGCATGCAATAAAGGGTTTCACCTGGAATACCAAACACTCCGTACTGTATGCAGTGCACAAGGAAAATGGATAGGCCTTCAACCAGTTTGCCAAATAATCCAATGTCCTAAGCCTCCATTCATTAAATTTGGATATATAGATGGAAAAAATTATTCTTACAATAGTTCTATTCATATTACTTGCAATTTAGGTTGGAAATTGATAGGTGAGAGCACATTAGTATGTAAAGACAACGGCAAATGGTCTGGACCATTCCCTACTTGTCAAGGAACTCTATGCCCACCTCCAAAACATATCGATAATGGTTTTATATCATCGTCAGATTTTAGTAATGGTGCAATTATTATATATTCTTGTAGTAAAGGTTACATACTTGTTGGAACAGCGGAACGCAAGTGTCAAAATGATAATACATGGAGTAGCAATCCACCATTATGCAAACCTGTTGTTTGTGAAGCACCCAGGAATATCACTAATGGGAAATATTTGGGCAATGTTTATGAATTTGGCAAAACTGTCTCGTATGCGTGTGAAAGAGGATATGAAATGCATGGAGCAGCTGTTTTAACTTGCACAGAAAATCGCACTTGGAGTTCCGATCCACCTGTTTGTGAACAGATATCTTGCCCTTTGCCAGATCCTTTGGTCCATGGCGAGGTATTAGTGCATAGTTTTTCACAAGGATCGACAGGCAGAGAAGTGCAAGTATGGCCGGTAATTGGGCAACGAGGAGATATTACAGTCGATGGCAAAACAATGCTTGAAGCATCTCGATCTAACATATTTCACTGGGGCGATGAAGTAATATATAGATGCACAAACGGATATAAATTGGTTGGTGAAGCCACTCGTGTTTGTCAGGAAAATGGTACATGGTCAAATAAAGTTCCAGAATGTAAACCTGTTTCTTGCAGTGCACCAGAAAATTTAGTTATGGGGGATATGGTTGTTTCTTCATATATTTATATGTCTAAAGTAAGTTATACATGTGAGGTTGGATACAAGTTGAAAGGGCCTTCTACAAGACAATGTCAAGCCAATGCTACATGGTCGAATGAACTACCAACATGCCAGCCAATTGTCTGTCCAGTAATCCAAACAATACCTCATGGTTATGCCAAATGGAGTTCTTTAAGGTATGGAGCCTCAGTTACATACGAATGTTTGTTAGGGTATAAATTAATTGGTGAACCAGTGAGAGTATGTGAGCTGTCGGGTAGATGGAGCGGTGAAGAACCACATTGTATAATAAGAGAATGCAATACACCTCCAGCTCCCGAAAATGGATGGGTTAAATCTGAAGGTTTGATTGTTGGTAGCACAGCAACATACCACTGTAATGATGGGTATGAGCTAGAAGGATCGATGACACGATCGTGCTTAGTCAATGAAAGCTGGAGTCTTAGTATCCCTAGATGCAAAATAGTATCTTGCATACTTCCACCAGAAATAGAACATGGTCACATTGAAGGATCCAATTACACTTTTGGTTCGACTGTGAAATATATCTGTGATTTTGGATATCAGCTTGAAGGTAGTTCAGAACTGCAATGTTTAGCTGACAAAACATGGAGTGAGGCCGTTCCTAAATGTATGCCATTGCCATGTCCACGTCCAGTATCTCCTGCTCACGGAACTGTTCTTTTCAGAGCCCTTGTAGTAGATAGTACAGTTCATTTCAGTTGCAGTGAAGGCTATGAGATAGTTGGATCTCCTAACAGCACTTGTTTACCAGACCAGACCTGGAGTACAGATCCACCTGTCTGTCAAGTAATTGTATGCCCAAGTATCAAAAATCCAAAACATGGTCGAACAATTGGTTCGAATTATACCTATGGATCAAAACTGGAATTCAAATGCAATTCCAAGTACAAAATTGATGGGCCAGAATCTGTTGTATGTTTATCCAATAAAAAATGGTCCAAACCAGCCCCTAAGTGCAGACGATTTCTCTGTGACACACCTAACATTATTCCAAATTCACATATACCAGTTGGGCCTTATGTAGTGGGGCAAACTATTGATTATTCATGCGATGAGGGTTATATTTTAGAAGGAAACCAAACTGTGGTATGTGATTCAAATGGCCAATGGCTTCAACAGAGAACTAAGTGTAAACCTGTTGATTGTGGTGCTCCGCCAGCTGTCAACAATTCAGAAATAGTTACGGAAGGTGGTTGGAAACTCGGTGGAAAAGTTACTTATTCTTGTGATTATGGCTATCATCTAAGAGGAGCAGTAAGTAAGTACTTGTATGTAATCTGCAGATTTGTTTAGTAATTTCTTTGTGAAATATTTTTCAATTTTTATCATTCTTATTCAAACAGTATAATAGTAAAACTGCAACATTTTTATTCTGAATTTTAAAACAAGAAATTTATTATTCACATTGCATTATTATTAATATCACTATAAATTATGTTAATAGCTTAGTACACTGCGCTAAAAAGAATGGCACTCTTCTGTATCTCCCGTTCTACTAGGCCAATTGACGAAATTCAAATTGCATTTTCCATGCTTCGAAAGCGCAACTTAGGATATATATTAGATTTATATATAGCTTTGTTCTAACACAGGTTTTTTGACACAAAATCGGACTTTTTTTTAAATAACATACCAGTTTTTTTCCCCCCATATTTCGATTCTACGTCCCAAATTATGTCTAGATATTAAATTATGTAATTTTGGTGAGAAATTAAAAATTTATCTTGGTAATTTTTTTCAGTTTGCGCCAAGAATAATTCATTTGGCATACTTCTTAATTTATAGCAACCTATTTTCCTTTCCTTTTTCCTCATTGTCCACGAACCAAAAAAAAGTTATAGTTCATACTTTCAGATAATTTTAACAAAGTGCGTGTAAACCTCATTTTCGTTATTATCGCTTATAATAAATACGCTAAATTGCAAAACGCGCCGAAATGTAAATTCACGCATGTCTTAGGAAATTTTGAACAAAAATTTCTAATTTTTTGCAGGTATGCTTAGAAATACATCTACTTTACGATGATGGCAAAACTTTTATAGGCTATAATTCAAAATGTTTTTCGAAAAATTTATAAGAATTATTTAAAAATACAAATATTAAAAATAAATCATAAAAAATAGGCGAATTTTATTTGGAATGAACCTAAATTTCGAAATGTGAAAGGAAGAATCAAGTAAGTTTAATAAAAAAAGAGAGATTAATAAATATATACCAAATTCAATTAACATTAAGGAGCTAAAATGTTGAGAGCTAATTTTTAAAAACTACTCGTGCGAATTTTACGAAACTTGGCAGTTTGGCATTATTCGAGTCGTAGAATGGAAATTTGGAAGAATCGAGAGCCGTAGAATTGAAATATGGAAAAAAATCGTTATGTGATTTCAGTAAAATTCCGCTTTTGTGTCAAAATACCTGTATTAGACCAATGCTATATATAAATCTAATACATGTTTCAAGTCGCGCTTTCGAGACATAAAAAACGCAAGTTGAATATCGTCAATCTAGAACAGGAAATATAGAATTGTCCTTTTTTTCTCCTGCGCAGTGTACTTTAAAGGTCCATGTGTTTTAAAGGTAAAATCAAATGAAGTTTAAGGAAATAAAATTTATTAGTTTGCGCTGGTAATATAATTTCACTGAATATTAATTTTATTTTATAAAATTCGGAACTAAAAGTATTTTCCCTTTCTTATCAACAGTCAGTACAGTTACGGTCATGCCATAATTATAAAATATTCTACTATTAGTTACTTTAAAGTTATGGTAAAATTATGGTAATAATTTAAATTATTCTAATGAGATGCTTATGGTATTTTTTAATAATTAACTTCTAAGAATTGAGTTATTAAGATTATCAAGTTAAAAAACTAATTTTCCAAAATTCGTAGTTAAGAAATATTTAATGTGATTCTTTACATTAATTTTAAAAATCTTTGATACATATGTGGATAACTGCCAAACTTGAAATCTAAAAAAAAGCCGTATTTTTTGCGAGAAACTGGAAGATTTTCATTTGGACCGCTATCGAAGGCAATTTAACGATGTTTTTTGCGTGACATCTGTACGTAAGGGCAGAATACAGAACTCTTTTTCCCAAAACGAATTATAAAATGGATTTGAAATGGACTTTAAAAAGATTTTTTTCGTGGCATCTGTACGTACTTTTGTATGTGTCCCACATCTTCAAAAACGAGTAGCCTCAGCACGTTACAATTTTGTATATAGGACTGCTATAACATGTAATTGTGCACCTCCCTTTTTGGTTGCAATCGGCCTTACAGAAAGTATGTAAATATATATATATATATATATATACTACTCTGTTACTCGACTCCGTTAGCTCAGTTTTATATATATATATATATATGTAATAATAAATTTCCATAGTCAAAATTACACTTAAATTTCTAACTGTATATGCTTTTTCATTTTTAATGGCGACGGTCTCTTATTTGAAAGTACGTGGAATTAAATCCACAGCCCCGTAGTCAAGTTGTTTTTCCCGCCTTTTCTACACGTACAGTTATAGAATGTTCTGGAAATATTTAAAGCGAACTGGATTGGCTGACGAGGCTGACGTCATTTCTTGGAAGCTCTGCCTTTCCAGAGGCTATAAAGGGACTCGCAAAGGAATATCGGGAGCTTTTCTTTAATGTAACGATGCAGTAAACTTCATACAAAAAGTTATTAGTAATTCTTTTTTATTTACTCCGGAGATATGAATTTTTGTAACTGCTATTTCTCCTGACGAATAATAAATGGTCAGTATTTTTATGGACATTTTTATGGACCATCAGTCATTTTTATGGACCAATAATAAAAACCAATTTTTAAACTTATCGTCTGATAATTTAAGCTACGACTACATGTATGATTCTTCACCAATCTATTTATTCCGGACAAAAGCTGGTACATCACATATATATATGTTTATGTTAGTATGTTGTGCGTTTTTGCTTTAAAAATGATTGAGTTATGTTGTTATTATGTTTCGGTTAAAGTTGCCTTTAGTTAATCTGCATGCAATAGTTGTAAATTTATCAACAATTTGAAAGTTTTTTAATTGCGAATAAGCCTAATGTTTTTACCATAGCAGCCGTATTTGTTTACATTTGTAACTTAAAAAAATAATGAATTAAGTCTCTGTTCGGTGTTTTTGCCGACTAGGACCAAAAGATAACTTTTATTTTTGTGCTCCGAAAAATCTGCCTTCTTGCCTGTTGCCGAATTGCTTGTTTTTGCTCAGAAACTCTAATTTTAATTGTAAAATTTTTTTAAATTGTTTTTACTGTCTTTGGTGTTATATGTTTTTCTATATCTTTCAATTTTTAATGAAAATGTTTTGAGTTTCTATGTATTTTTGCCTTATCGCGAAGTGAGAACTGAATTAATTGAATGAGAAATCTATCTCTAATGAAATTCGAGGGAATAATTTAAATGAAATGCAGGAAAAATGCGCATAATTTAATATTCCGTAACAAGGAAGTCATGTGATGTACACACCAGAGTTTTTATTTAAGCCATAAATACTATCTGTTCCGTGAGCAAGAGCAGTGCCTTCTGTTAAACATTTATCTGAGTTAAATAAAAAGGACTTTGACACCTTTCTCAGTCTTTGTGGTACTTTACAAGAAATGATGATAACTCACTTAGGTCTCACAAGACGAGACTCCGTATTAATTTGGAGTCTCGAGTTAAGGAGAATAGCGCAACGCCGCAGATACTGTTCTCAACAGAATCAATTAGCAACCGTGGCATTCCGCAGACAGAACATGCTCCGATTCTACTCTTCAAAGCCTTCCTTCAAGGACTATCGCCTTTCTAAATCGGTTAGTAAACCTAAACAAATACTTATAGTTAATTAATTAATGAGCCTAATATTTATCTGGATAAACTTAATAACATACCATATAAAGAAGTAAAATAAATACGAATATTAACTGATTAAATACAGGTTGAATCTTGATATAAAAATCTACAAATGTGTACAGTAGATTCAGACAACTCAGATAAATTTAAATAAAAAAAAAAAAAAAAAAAAAAAAAATCTGGAAGGTTTCCGATTTTAAATTACGTCCAAAGGGGCTTTTTTCAACGTTTTGTGTGCTACCTATATTTATTAAATATCATGTTCTTCGCACTTAAACCATAAAATTCAATTCAACAGCAACGTCGCAAAATAATTTTAAATTGAGCATATCTTTAGAATTTCCGATACACAGTTCCGAGCGCTGGAGATGAAAAGGTTGTCCCCCCCCCCCGTAGAATTTACTATTGCTCGCTTTTAAACCGTTGAGTTTGTTAATCAAAAATTCGTTAAAAGTTTACAAAAAAGGAAATAGATATTAACCCAAATTCCAAATTTGGGCTTCCAGATGCCCATATTCGGGTGGAGACGTATGGTATTCAAAATTGGATGGCTCTAGGTATACCGTTGTTTGATCCAATGCGAGAAATATACATACATTTAATAAAGATTCTTGATTATTTAATTTCTTCAAATATAATACAGGGCGACAATATTGGGTGGCAACAGTTTGAAAAGTGAATCGGACATTTATAGTGAATCAACGCAAAATGCCAAAACGAAAATAATATAACGAAATAATAACCCTTTTGGGCTAATAATATAAAAGTCAATATAATGTAATACGAATAAAATTTACTGGAAAACAAATGCTTTTTGCTGCAAACAGTTTTCTGTTTATTGCCTGAAAACATTTTCCTTAATAAAAGCTGAAACTAAAAACCGAGAAATTCGGCGATTTATCGGAAAACCGAGAGATAGGGTGGAAAACTGGGAGAGTTGACAGTTATGTAAGTGTATATATGACACATGTAATATTTTTATGTAATTATCTAATCTTACTTAATTCTAACTTCAATTATATACGTATATATTCAAGATGTGCACATATTATACTTGTGTATATATTATATATATATATGTGTGTGTGTGTGTGTGTGTGTGTGATGTACCAGCTTTTTTCCGGAATAAATAGATTGATGAAGAATCATAGATGTAGTCGTAGCTCAAAAGTATCAGACGATAAGTTTAAAAAACAGGATCCATTTATTATTATTCAGGAGAAAATAGCAATTACAAAAAATCAGATATCTGGAGTAAATAAAAATGAACTACTAATAACTTTTTCTAGGAAGTTACTGCATCGTTACATTAAAGAAAAGACCCCGATATTCCTTTGCGAGTCCTTTTATAGCCTCTGGAAAGGCGAAGCTTCCAAGAAATGACGTCAGCCTCGTCAGCCATTCCAGTTTGCTTTAAATATCTCCAGAACATTCTATAACTGTACGTGTAGAAAAGGCGGGAAAAACAACTTGACTACGGGGCTGTGGATTTAATTCCGCGTACTTTCAAATAAGAGACCGTCGCCATTAAAAATGAAAAGAACATACAGTTAGAATTTTAAGTGTATTTTTGACTATGGAATTTTATTATTACATATATTATATATAATAATAAGATGCATAAGGAAAGGAAAGAGCCGGAGCAGTGTCGATATGTGCTTAGATCCATATTGAAGATGAATTTTGATTGCGTAGTATCTAAAGAACTTGGCAGTCGAGGCGATTTTAATTCCATTTTTATTTGCAATTGATATTTGTGGCCACAATCACTTGACACTCCAGTCGGCCTTTCCACAGAAGATTTACATTTTTGATATTGTTGAGATAGAAAGCAAGCCAGCGAAATTACATGTTAGTGCAGTACAGAGCAAAGCTAAGTGCGTAGTTATGCAAGATGGAAGGACGCGAAGAGAAAAGTTTTGGTTTGCAATTTGGTGATTGGTCAACAGGCATCTGCATTAACCTTTACGTAAGATCGCATGATTAATTTGAATGACGCTATTTTTAGGACAGATAGATGAAGTTCCCAAATGAAATAAAAAATAAAAGAGGTTATAGTGAATTAAATTTAGAAGTTTTGCTTTGATATTTTTTATCTTATATGATGGAGTTCCGATTTACAATTTTAATAGTATGAAAATTAAATTCTCTTCTTCTATCAAAAAGGTCTAATTTCTTTAAGATTATGTGTATTAATATACAGATAGTCTATTACTGTTTGATCTTTATTGGTCCTATTAAATTTTAGACAACCAAGGTAGATGTCGCAATTTTGTATGATATTTGGATCAATAAGGATTATTATTATGTAATAAATACTATTAAAATATTATTATAAAGTTTAATTTTTATACTATTATAATTTTCGTACTATTAGAGTGTTTGTTGTCACCTATAACATACAATATCAAGCTATGCAAATATTCAAGTTGAAAAACGTTTTTGAGTTAAATAATTATAACTGAAAATTCAATGAAATCAATACTAAAATAAAAAATTAATATTTCGTAAAATATCCATTGTTGTTTATAGCAGCCTGTAGTTTTCTTGCCGTTGATTCTACTAACGTTTTGGTTAGATCTGACGATAAATTTTGCCATGTTTTCAAAAGAACATTTTTGAATTAATTTATATTTGAGAATTTATTTTTCCACACTTCTTGATCCAAAAATTCTGCGTATTACCTCTGCTATTATTTGCGAAGTTTTTCCATATTTCCTCGGGAACAGCGATGGTCATATATGAGAAAAAAAATGGTGAATGAATGATCAAGATAGGAAGAAGAGGTGCTAAAAGGATAAGACAGGAGGAGGAGGTAGTGGGGATTAGGTTACCTAATCGCCCAGCCCACCAGCGGCCGAGCGGTAATGTCGCTGAACCCTGGTAGTTCGGTCCGAGGTTCGAATCCCGCGAACGGGCTGGCTGCATGGGTGTTTTCGTGGTTTTCCCCATGTGTAACGTATTACGAGCCAGTTTCCCTTAGAAAGTCCTCCACGAAGGCATCCCTCCCTTAAGGCAGATAGCCCTCGAGTGCTTTGCCGTAATCTAATAAACCAAACCAAACCAAACCCAATCACCCAAATCCTGGTGATGCAGTGAGTGCCACTTATAGAGTCTCCGTGTTCTTTTTGGTAGCATACAACTTGGACTCTACGTAGAAGACGAAGTTTATATCTTTGAAGAATAAATACTGCAGGAGAAGGTTTTTAAATAACCTTTTTATTTAAACTAAATTAAAGAGATGCATGCACTTGGTGTTCACAATTCACCACTTGTGGCAAACTAAATTAACAGCAAATAAGAATGTAAAATTCACATTGAATTAAGAGGGCTAACGGCTGGCTCCTTAGCTACACGCTAAATCGGCTGCATACAGCAAAGCCGATCCGAGAAATATCAGTATGAACTCAGGACTTAATTTCTAAAATTAGAAGCACCGGAACCGCCTATAGAAGGCCTTCACGAAAGAGACACAAGAATAAATAAATAAAATGACTAATAAAATCATTAATATTTATAACATTTTTACAAAAATTCTGAAAGGTTTCAGATTTTAAATTACGTCCGAAGCGGCGGTTTTTTTTTTTTTTTCTTTTTTTTTTTTTTTTAACATTTTGTGTGTAACCTTTATTTATAAGAGATAGATTAAAGATGAGAGTAAAGATTGTGTTTAAAGAAAATAATAATAATAATAATAATAATAATTTTAAATTACGTCCAAAGAGGCGTGTTTTTTAACGTTTTGTGTGTTACCTTTATTTATTAAATATCATGTTCTTCGCACTTAAACCATAAAATTCAGTTCAAGAGCAATATCGCAAAATAAATTTAGATTGAGCATATCTTTAGAATTTCCGATACGCAGTCTCGCGCGCTGGAGATACAAATGTTTTTTCTGTACAACGTTGCCATGGCTCGCTTTGAAATCCTCGAGTTTGTTCATCAAAATTTGTTAAAGTATTACAAAATATGAAATCAATCATAAAACAAATTTCAAATTTGGGCTTCCATATGCCCATATTCGCAGTAGGATTACGTCATTCGAAATCGGATGGCTCTAGGTGCAGTTGTTTGATCGTAATGCGAGAAACATACATGCAGATTCTTCATTATTCAATTTCTTCAAATATAATACAGGACAATAATATTTGGTGGCAACAGTTTGAAAAGTGAAACGGATGATCCGACGCAAAATCGCAAAACGAAAACAATAGTCCCTCAGGAACAAAGCCCCTCTGGATTAATAACTCATTATTAAAATAATTAAATAATTAATGGTTAAAGTAAATAAATAATTAAAATTATAATGCAAGAAATGCAAAATTAAAATTTAATAAGCGATTTTTTAATATAATTTTATTACTAAAAAAATTTTCAAGTTCAAATTTCTACTGAAGTTGTTGTTCAGTTACATAAAAGAAATGAATCCTTATTTAGGGCTGCGGCTAGAATTATGAATTATCCCCAAAAAACTAAGAATTACCGGAGCAATTTAAGCCCTGTATAAACTGGGAGGTGTCTAACGCCGATTAGAAAACTAATTTCAAACACGCAACATAAACGCGAAACTGTTTACTAAACTCCGCTACTATCTTACGATATCTTGAAACGCAGCTTAAATGCTGCTTCTGGAACACGTTTAGATTAGCAACTACGTCTTTACAAATTTACATTCCGGCAGGAAACTGAAATCGGAAGGGAAAGAAAACTAAAAATAATTGGTTAGAATAAAGTCCTTACAGTAGTACTAGCAATAATAGTAGTACTAGTAGCACTCATTAATAGAAGCCCTAGCAGTACTATCAGTACCAGCAGTATCAGGACTACTATTTCTTCTAATTTTGTGTGGCAAACATGTGGTTGTCTTGAGTAGAACAGTGAGCTTACTTTAATTTCTTGGCTAAAAGCCACAACTTAACAGTTTGCAAGTTCAATTTGCATACTAAAACTAACCACGTTTATTCTGGCCGGAAGAGAAAAATAAGAGGGGGCAGTAATGTTTTAAAATAAAATAAACTTTAGTAAAACTTAAAATCCAGACAGAAGTACTAATAGTACTAGTGCTACTACTATGAGTAGCGAAGCAGGTCGTTTCGACGCTGACAGTTCGACGCCAACGTTTCGACGCCGGGGCAGTTCGACGCCGTACGTTTCGACGCAGGGGCAGTTCGACGCCATATTTTTTTCGTATTTTTATTTATTTTTGGAATAAATATGAAGTAATATAAATAAGTAATATGACTGAATTTTTATTTATTGAATTAGCGATTGTTTGCATGCATATTTGAAATAAATATATGTGTGAAAGTGTTCTAGATTTTTGTTTGTGTCCCAGATTAGTAAGAAGCCCCTCGCCAACGTCAAGGCCCCGGAACACGAGGGAGAGTTTTTTTTAATTTATTTATTTCACAAAACGGCATCAAAAAGGCAAAATACACAAATGGTAAATAAACGTATGGTTACAAAGTAGTTATTATTATATTGCAGACAAATATAATTACAGATAAATAAGATTACACATAAATAAGATTAGAGATAAATAAGATTACATCGTAGAACTGTTACTATACTAATCCATTGCAAAGTTATGCTCCACATCTTTCAGGTATTCCATTATTTCTCGATTTTCAAAATCTTCAACTATTATTTTGATTCTCATATCAGCTCGCAGATACCTATTCCGCTTGTGCGACGGTTCATCTTCACGTACAAATTGTTCATAACATTGATCAATTGATTTTGAACACGCCGGAGACCATCTATGAATTCCCATAATGTGGGGTGTGAAACACCAAATGATGATGACACCAAATTTATTTGAATGATGATGCAAACTTATTTTAAAAATAAATAAAAATACGAAAAGTATGGCGTCAAATAAAAGCAAAAAAAGTATGGTGTCGAACTGACCCCACACGTCGAAACGACCTCGTGTCGAATTGACCACGCGTCGAACCGTTGGCGTCGAACTGACCTGTACCGATTAGTAGTACCTCATCATCATGAAATAAGATTGAATTCTTTCCTGTACAAAAGGGTAGTAATGACTTCTTTACTATTCAAGAGTTAAAAAGGCAGAACTGCAGATGAATGCAGAGGAAAATCATAATTTATAATTTTTAAACCTGCATTTGTTTTTTATTTTCTTCAAAATGTAGTATTTAAGAAAGCTATATTAAAAAGCAGCATTGGAGGTTTATATTATAGATTTTATTAGCAAGAATTTGCACACTTCAAGTACAAAAACAAAAGTAATATGACTTTTTTTCTTTTAAAACATAGGTGTTACATGCGGAACAGACGGCAAATGGAGTGAACCACCGTACTGCGAAGAAATGAGTTGTGAACCGCCTCCCGATATTGAAAACGGGAGGGTGATAGTGGAGAAAAAACCCGGATTAAGTGAAGCCACCTACTCTTGTCTGAAGGGTTACAAACTTGTTGGCACCCAGAAACACTCATGTATCGGCAATGGCAGTTGGAATATCACTGGGTAAGACAAATTATAAGTTTCCAAAATATTTTTACATTTCGGCGATTCTCATTAGCTGGAATATATATATATATATATATATACTATATATATATATTTTTTTTTTTACTAGAACGAAAAGCTGTGATACTTATAAGTTTTACAAACAGTTAAGCTTAAACATTTTCATATCCTCCCTTTGATTCATGTCACATACATTCGCTCGGACCAGAAAGCTATGCATAATAAATGCACCCAAAATAGACTTTAAAGCTAGTTAAATCAACCTCAACTCGTGCCTTGCCGAGTATAGTATGTCCCGATCATGAGAATTAGCTCTAGTATGTTCATAGATAGGCAGTAATTTTCAGAGACTGAGCGTTTCCTATTCCCTTCTAGAATCCTAAGAGACTCAAAACAGACTCCTATCTACAACAAGCTTTCACAAATCACGGGAAATTTCTCGCCTACCTCAGTAGGTTCTGCCATCAAAATGTAAAATGCGCCTGCGGTGCCTCAGCTTCTTCAGCATACGTCTCGCATTACATCTTCGGCTATCCACTCACTTCTCTCATCAGAGCCACCCATGGAGGTAGGAAGTAAGCGTTCTTACCTCCATGGATCATCCCTTCCTCAGCTCCAGGGATCAGATAACCTCAAAGACCTTCTTTAAGATTACTACAGACAGCGGGGCGCCAGAACCATCATAGAGTACGTCTATTCTAAGAGAAACAATCATAGCAGATAACCAGGTCTAGGCACTTGACAAAATGTAAAGGCAGCAAGCCTCTATTCATGTATATATACAGGGTGTACCATAAATGTTGCGACAAACTTCTAGGGCACATCATAAGGATTAAGATTTGCATAGGAACCCATGCTCAGAAACGTAACTGTACGCCGCCAGGGGGTGCTCTACAGGAGAGTGCTAGTGGAAAGCGAGAAGGATTGTTTCATTCGAGCGTTAGGCACCATACGAAGAGCATGGAACGCTATGGGAAAGGAGAGTTTGCAGACATGCACTTAGTGTATGAAATAGCTGAGGGTAATAATGGACGAACCGCTGCACACATTTATCGAGAATTTTTCTGCGACAGACATCAATTATACCACAGTTTGCACGTCTGCATCAAAATTTGTATGACTACGGTACATTAAGAAGTGGACTCATTTTGGACTGGATGTTCGTAGCCATCTGAACAGTTTATTCCCGCATCGACGGATTGGGCGTGGTGGAACAGTTCCCTGACCCACACGCGAACCGGATTTATCGATTCTTGATTTATTTTTGTGGGAAGCCATCAAAAGTGTCGTGTATCACGATCCTGTTGTGTCTGAAATGAATCTCGTGGCAAGACTCGCCTGCGCAGCTGCTACAATCAAAGAAACTTCCCGTGTGTTTGAACATGTCCTGCAATGAATGGTCCGTCGGTGTCAGGCATGTTTGGCGTCTGATGGTGCAAACTTTGAGCATCTTTTGTAACATCCAAGCTGTCGAAACACCACTTGTATTCATGTCCAATAAATATTCAAAATTAATCACTCTCTTGTTTCCTTTCCCATTTTCTACCTCTGCTACCACTTATCCCTGACATTTCCGGGCATGCAATTCTTAATCCTTATTATGTGCCTACCTTTCCTAGAAGTATGTCGCAACATTTACGGCACACCTTGTATAAATATTTCTAAACTAACTAACTCATTTCGCTACGTTTGTACTAACATAGCCAAAACATAGTAAGTTGCAGCACACAACAAAAGTAATACACTAATTTTAAATATGTTTATTAATAATAAGGCTGAAGAGATAAACAACCAAAAAAGGTTGCTGGTGCAACGATCAGGATGACATGATTGACCTGTAGTGCCTATTGCGAGGTGAAGCACGTGAAATAATAATAAATAAAACTTCTTGTGCGAGGTTGTTAAGCATTTTACAGTGATTAGCTGAGGATAGTGTTTGAGAGAATTTGATTTTGGTAGCTGTAATACACCTAGGCTGGTAAGCTTAAACATTAGATATTGTTGCCGAGAAGTAATTAACCTGTTGATTATACATTCCCTTTTTTTACCACGCCGGGACACGATAAAGTTTTGATTTTAAATGTGTATTTTGTACGCAGTCTGATTGTCTGACGCCGACAGTGAAGAAGTAACCCTGGAGTAATGTTTGATAAACGTTTAGTTTAGATTAAGTGATAGATTCGCACAGCAGAAATAACTTAATAAAGCTAAATGAAGTTGATGCATAAACTGAAGTGAGTATGAGTTGGAATTCGAATAATGTGGGGGGGGCGTTTAGATAGGGTCATAGAAGAATCCTGTATGGTGTAACAAGTATTTATTAACAGGTTTAAGTTACACACGGACATTTCATTTAACTTTAAGAAAATTACAGAGCAAGAGTCTGATACAAACTATCTGGTAACACACTTGGCCCCACGTTGGGCGCCACTTTGTGAGGAGGAGGCTTTTACTAAAGTCCTTCTCTGGCTACTCACCAGAGGTCACCCTTGTTGTCACAGTTAGTCCAACAGTTTATGTTAAAGGCTTGGTTACATTAACTGAAAATTTTAGTTAAAATTAACCCTTTGCACTTGGGGACACATTAAGTATAACACCTTAAGTCTTCTCTAAGAGAAAAGCTTTCTAGTCGGATGGCTCCTTTTCAAAGGGCCATTAGTGACTGCATGCCTTCTTAAAATTTTCTATTGAAATGGCATAAAAAAATGTGTAACCAAAATGAAGCCGATGTTACGTTTAGAAGATAACGCTTGAAGTTTATTCGCGGTGCGTCCTAAATTCCGTTCTGAAGAAAAGGATAAGAAGCATTTGTATATGTAAAATGATACTATTTGTATGTTTTTACTCTTCGTATTGTCTGATTTGAAGAGGTATATGAACAAGTCTAAAACTATAACCTGAAAGAAACAGACCTCCAAAGGCATTCAAGTACACAACGTTACAACGTTTTGTACAATTGGCGTTCAAGTACACAACGGTATAGATCGTGACATGCACCAAGTTTTGCATTTTTTTAAAAAGTTTTATTTCGTAATTCGTGATGTACAATGGGGGAAAAAAAGGGGGACAGTTCTATATCTCCCGTTCTACTGGGCCGATTGACTAAATTCAAATTGCGTTTTTCAGGTCACCAAAGCGCGACTTAAGGTATATATTAGATTCATAAATAGCACTGTTCTAATATAGGTATTTTGACACAAAATTGGACATTTTCTGAAATGACATGTCAGTTGTTTTCCATATTTCGATTCTACGACTCATTATGCCTACATATTAAATTTTGTAACATTTGGTGGGAAATTTATGGAGAAATTAAAAAATTTATCTTGACGCATTTTTTTTTTTTTTTTTTTTTTTTTTTTTTTAGTTTGAGCCAAGAATAATTCACACGGCGAACTTCTTATTTTATTGCTATAAAATAAGAGACCTATTTTCTTTCCTTTTATTTTTCATTGTAAGTGAGCGGAAAAAAAGTTATTGTTCATTATTTCAAATAATTTTAACAAAGTGCGTAAACCACAGTTCGCTTTATTATCGCTTATAACAAATATGCCAAATTTAAAAACTCGCCAATATGTAAATTCAGGTATATCCTTGAATACAAAACTGTAATTTTTAGCAAGTACACTTAGAAACACCTCTACTTTAAGATGATGGTAAAAATTTTATAGGTTACAATTCAAAATGTTTTTCGAAAAATTATTTAAAAATACAAATTTTTAAAATAAATCATAAAAAATGTGTGAATTTTATTTGGAATGAACCTCAATTTCGAATTCTGGATGAAGTAAACAAGTAAGTTTAATAAAAAAAAGAGATAATTATAAATATATATCAAATTTAATTAACATTGAGGAGCTAAAATTTTGAGAGCTAATTTGTTAAAAACTACTCGTGCGATTTTTACAAAACTTTGCATAACTTGAGTCGTAGAATCGAAGTATGGGGAAAAACAAACAAAAACAAAAAAACAAAACAACAACAAAAAAAAAAAAAAAAAAATTCAAGTCATTTTAGAAAGAGGCTGATTTTGTGTCAATATGCCTATATTAGAACAATGAGATATATAAATCTAACACATATACTAAGTCGCGAATTCGAGACATGAAAAACCCAAGTTGAATTTCGTGAATTGGCTCAGTAGAACGGGAGATATAGAATCGTCCCATATTTATTCCCCCCCCCGGCATCTTCGTAAAGACGTGTTATCGACTTGCTCTTTGGTCAGTTGTGGAAAGGGTCTGAGTACAAAGAATTAATTTCCCTAACTTTTATTGGCCCACTATCAGCCTAATGTCAACACCTCAGACCGGGTTCAAGTCTCGGGGAACGAATTGAATTTTCGTGGTTATCACCACTTTTAATGCAAATACAAGCTTCTTTTCCTTGAAAGGTCCTCTACAAAAGCACTGCCTGCCCTTCAGCAGGTATACATTGCTTTAATCAAATAACCATCAGATGTATCATTTCTCATTGAGAAAGTTCGACTTAAAATCAAAAACTCCAGTAATTAGATTTCTGCTTTAACTATGTAAAGTGTATTTTAATTTTTTAAGTTATTTTAATTTTGAAACTCTTTCCTGTCAATTCTTGTTTCCACTTACAACTCCCTACCAGAAGGAGTTTTCAGAATCGCGTTGAATGCAAATGAGTTGGAAGAATTATTGGTTATAGTAGACTGAAGGTCACCCCTTGTGTTATCGCGAATTTGTTCTTTCGTTTATCGCCAAGTTGTTGTTTCATTTATGATAACCTGAATAGTTGAATGTTCCGTAAATATACTTTCACTTAGAATTGGGTCCTCCTTTGACTTTTTAAGTGATTTATGTGATTTTAAGCCATTAATCGCCGCTACACAAAGCCAAAATAACAAGTCAAAGAATTGCACAAACTCGGTATCCATGTACCGCCAATTTTCGCGAAATATAGTTTTATGGAATAAATATACTTTTATGGAATTATTTAAGGAAGGTTCAACTAACTTCGATAAAGAGTGCTTAGAAGTCCATAGTGGCGCGAGTTTGCCTTCGGGCTAAGCCGCTCTTGAAGCTGTTACGCTCGGCCGTATATTGCGTGCCTTTTGATATTCGCCGGCGAGTTTAATTTAAGGGCCAACTGCGTTAGATAATTGTGTCTAGCTTCGGCTAAGTCTTGTTTAGTTCATTATAGTTTAGTTTCTCATTTTTTTTATTCTGAGTTAAACCCCGAGTAGAGGCTTTCCTGTGAGCCCGAGAAGGGGCCGACTGTTATTCTTATTTGAGTGAATAAAAGGGTATTTTAACCTTTCTCGAATCTACATCTTAGTTGTTTGAACTCAGCGATAAGTCGGTATATAGTTCACTAAGTTCTCGACGTTTCATCTTAGACAAGGAGTTAGGAATCCTACAACTATGTAAACTACATCTTATATTGTCGAAAGCAAGTTCCTTAGAAATGTTCATTCTGATTGGTGTTGCGTGAATTTGTTTTCTGGTAAGCTAGAAGTTTAATACAAACAATGATATAGAACAAGTTTTGACTATATAGAACTCAGAAGTTCTATATAGAACTCACACACGAGTCATACATTTTTATGTACTAAACTGTCCAAATATTTTTGAATTGTCACATATTCAACTCATGAAAACCTTCTCATGGTTGAATGTTTCATCTATATATGTATAAAGAAGAAAGTATATTTGTTTGTTCGCTAATAACTCGGTCACTGATATAACTATTGTTACGAAACTTTCTACAATACTTTTCTGGGCCACGGAAAAGGTCGACGTCTACTTTTTTCCAAAGAAAGTAGCTAAAATCAGAGATATTAATTAAAAACTCGAAAAAAATCCTAGAGTTTGTTAATAAAAACTTCTAAGTTACGATGAAATAAAAATAGCATTGCCAAGTGTTAAATACATTATACCCGATTCCAAAAATTCGTGGGAAGCCATTTCGACTCTTCCATGAATCGTATTTTTTTTGCATTTGCATCGTTATTAGAGAAGGATTACAGCGGTATCGTTCTCTCTGTTATTAGGTACATTACTCTCAATTTAACTTAACTGGCATCGAGTACTTCCGCTAGTATTGTGTAAAAGTCAATAAATACACTTTCCCAAATAAGGAGAACTGATTAAAACTCTCAAACAGGTACTGATGATCTGAATCAAACGGAATAAAAGGATTGTCCTTTTATAGTTAATACAGAGTGCGGCCGCGTTCATAGCGTAATTTGACTTGCGTAGTACAATGACGTACTGCATGAATGCGCGCCAGCTCGTGCCGCATTCGTGTACTGCTGCCATTTCGAGTGTGACAGTGATATGGATCGGTGGAGTGCACAGCATCGTGCCTTTGCTGTTGAAAGTTATTTCAAGAGTAACTACTCCGTTATTGCTACCCAGCGTCTATTTCGGCAACATTTCAACTTGGGACATCATGGGAAAAGTTCCAGATGGACGGATCATTGCGACAGACATTTCTAGGTAGAGTAATTTCCCGTTTGGATGACATTTCCTGGCCGTCTCGCTCACCTGATCCTTTCATCTGCAAACTCTAGGGGCACCTGAAGCAAGAAGTTTTCCGAAGACGTTGTGCCACCATTCCTGAGTTGAAGGATCGCATCGGAACTGCCCTCGGCAATGTCCCAGGGAATACGTTACGCCGAGTTATGGCAAGCTTCCAACGCCGCTTAGATAAATGTGTTGCACACAGGGGGCATCCTATTCAAAAAGTAATCAACGCAATGAACAATGACTTACACATTAGTAAATGGCATAGCTTTAACTATTAATTGGCATAAGAGGTAATAAATAAATTACAGTTACTGCCTCATGGTGTGTTTTTAATATCCTACTATGAACGCCGCCGCACCCTGTATTTCATCCTTTAAACTTCAAAAAGTAACATTTAGATTGTTTGTAATGAATATGTTTTGTTTGTAATTTTGCCTGTCTTGCATTTTTCACTCAGCACATACTGCGACCTTGTGATATGCGGAGAGCCGCCTTCAATACCTTTTGGAGGAATTGAGGTGTCCCCAAACAGTACAATCGGAAACCGTGGTACCTACCATTGTTTCCCCGGCTTTCGAGTAGTTGGAAGTACGACTGTAGAATGTTCTTGGCAAGGAACTTGGGAAGGCAAACCACCTCACTGTGTTCCTATCACGTGTCCTGCTCCAGGTGCTCCCGATCACGGCGAAGTGGACGGAGAAGACTTTTCTTTCCAGAGTGCTGTGCTTTACAGCTGCAATAAAGGCTACCAAATTTACGGTAGAGACACCAGATTCTGCTTGGAAGACGGGACTTGGTCTGGAGATATGCCGATTTGTCGAAGTAATTTTTATTTTTCTACCTCTTTTACCAGCTATAGTATAGTCTGTAGTAATTGATAGAAGATGTCATTAACATTGATCATTAAAAAAACCCGCATAAAAATATTTAGTAGCTCAGTTTTAATAAACAGAGTTCTCGAAACATACAGCAATGCTGTCGATGCAGCTGCCATGAATAAGGTGTAACATTGCATGTAAATTAAACGCGCTTCCCATAAATGGAAGTTGCTAACTTATTGCTGATATCACATTGAATCAGTTCGTTCCTAATATGCGACTCGATACTGATATAATTTGAGAAATAAATATGTCTGATGAATGAGTTTGTATACTTAATTTAAATTCTAAATATTAATATTATTAATATAAAAAATTGAAAGAAAACTGAGATTCAGAAAATAACAAGGGGAAAAACAATTTTTAATATACATTTTAAATAAAATTTTCGAATGAAATAATTTTCTGTGTTAAAGAATCTAATTTGTTACATATCATTATATACTGCGTTTCTTAACACTCAGAAATATCATGTGGACAAGTTGGACCACCTGCAAATGGCTACATTTTAGAAGATGTTCCTGGTCACTATGGGGATCGAATTCATTTCGCTTGCCATAAGGGGTATGAAATGGTTGGCAGTAGCACGGCTCGTTGTTTGGACACAGGAAAATGGGATAAACCTGCTCCTAAATGTACAGGTGAGTTAATAGCATGAACAGGTTGATGGAAGCTATACTGTTTTAAAGAAATAAGACTGTCTAATGGCTCTTCATCACCTGCAATTTCTTACTTTGAGACTTCTATGCTCTCTAGTTTATTTAATGTACGCTGATGAAATAAATTAAGAGAATTTTCATATTTGATCTGCGATCTCCAGAACTGCTGGACAGATTTTCATAAAATTTGGTGTGAACATAGGTTGATAGAATACAATAATAATAATAATAATAATAATAATAATAATAATAATAAACATTCAGCAGTTATAATAGACACACATTTTCGTAACACTCATGGGAGTCTGAAGGTCTGAAACAGCGGTTTCAGAAGACACAAAAGAAATGGGTTAATAGGGGGTATGGTCCCCTCTTACAGCCATACAGACCTCGCACCGTGATGTCATACTGGAAATAAAGCGTAGTTTATCAGTGCCTGTAACAATTGTCCCACTCATTCAACAATGCTGTTTTCAGTTCTTGGATGGTTCTCGGAGAGGGGGTTGCGAGTTGCAATTGCCCTTCCCAGAGCGTCCCAGACATGCTGTATAGGGTTGAGGTCTGGAGACCTGGCTGACCAATCCATCCGGCGAATACCCTCACTCTCGAGAAACTCGTCGACGAAAAGAGTGTGTGACCTCGCGTTATTGTCTTGTAAGATGAACTTGGGGCCAACTGCATCCCGGAAAAGACGAACATAGGGCTCCAAGACCTCATCCCTATACCTCACGCCAGTCACACAGCCTCTGTCAAAGACGTGGAGAGGTGTGCGGCCATGCAACATGATGCCTTCCCAGACCATTACACTGCCGCCGCCATTAACTGTTGATTTCGCGGATATGAGGGTAGGTAGCGGGTCCTTGGCTCTCTCCATATGAAAGTACGCCGAGAATCGCTGTTTAGGATAAAACGGGACTCGTCGTTGAATAGAACGGTCGCCCATTGCTCCGTACTCCAATCACTATGCTGCATGCACCATGCTAATCGGATTCTCCTGTATGTAGACGTGAACGGGACGCAAACAGCTGGTGTTCTGGCAGACAACCCTCTCTCTCTCTCATTCAGTCTTTTGGAAACAGTCACCCTTGTTACACGGGTTTCTACATACAGGTCCCAAGAGAGCTGAGAAGCTGTAGCCCCTCTGTTACGCCTCGCTAAAATGGACAAATAACGATCTTGTCTGGTCGTCGTGGCTCTTCGACGACCTTGCCCAGACTTTCTCTCGATGGATCCAGCATCCTGGAACTGTTTCCATACACACTACGCTGGGCGTTAAATTAAACTCTCTGCATATCTGGACTTGCGATTGGCCTGCCTCTAGCCTCCCCACCTCATTCCATCATCTAGACGTTGGTGGTTACTCATTTTTACTGTTCCGATGTGAATTTAACCGATTGCTGCAAAATAACACCAAGAAATTCGCAGAGGTGTGCTAGCTAACGCAATTCGTCGTATCCTTCCACGCGCTTATAAAGCCTGTTTTTTCTGCTGGCTATACACACGCATACGCTTACGTATTTGCTACACACACGTGTACACTGCTACACACAAATATACGCTTACGTATTTGCCGTACAAGATTTGCATTTTTATCTAAAATCAGTGGTTTTTCCTTCAGTTCACTTCTTTTCATGCAATTCGATAAAATATGCAAATTCTCTTAATTTATTTCACCAGTGTATTTTACTTACAGTGAAACCTCGAGAAACGATCACCTCTATATACGAGAAATTCGAGATACGAGGAAAGTACGAGTGAAAATTTCGTCTGTAAATACGAGCATTGACTCGAGTAACGAGCAATGAGCCAGGCTGTTGGTATGCGTGATGCCATTTTCCGATCCGGCTCGACTCGGGGGATTCTCTCGTTAGATCACTCGGTGTTCTTTGATCTACGTATTTGTGGGCTTGTGAGTTTAGTGTTTTTTAAATTTAACATGAAAATTATTATTTCACGCTGCCTCCCAAGAAGATTGTTGCCTCAGATAATGCTGCAAAGAAAAATAAGGAAGCCATGACCGTTGAAATTAAGAAAGAAATCATAAACATAAGCGTGGTGTAAGAATGACGGAAGTGACGAAATCTTACGGCCGTTCGGATATCGATGATCTGCACTATTCTGAAGAAGAAGGAAGAAATTAAGAAACTTGATGTGGCCAAAGGAGTTACTGTTACTTCTAAGCACCGTCCAAAACGCTTAAATGTTGAGAAGCTGTTGTTGGTGTGGATTAACGAGAAGCAGTTCAAAGGCGATTCCGTGTCTGAAGCTTCATAAAGATAAACTACGGTTATATGGTTTTATTACATTATGCCAAAGCACTCGAGGGCTATCTGCCTTAAGGGAGGGATGCCTTCGTGGAGGACTTTGTAAGGGAAACTGTCTCGTATACACATAACACATGGGGAAAGCCACGAAAATGCCCGCGGGATTCGATCCTCGGACCGAACTACCAGTGTTCAGCGACGTTACCGCTCGGCCGCTGGCGGGCCTCTACGGTTATATGAGTTATTGGCTAAGATCAAAGTGTAGTACCAGTGTTATTTATTAGAAAAATTGAATTTTATGCTGATATGTTTGGGGGTGCTGAACGGATTAACTGTATTTCCATTATTTTCAATGGGGAAGTTTGTTTCTAGATACGAAACTTCAATGGGGAAGTTTTTTCTAGATAGAATATCAATGCTGGAACGAATTAAACTCGTATCTCGAGGTTCCACTGTACTAAGATTTAAGAAACAAAAATTAAAAGCCACATTATTGCACTGGCGGGAAGAATTAAAAGAACAGCTATAAAAGGGTATTTTATGTTATGTAGTCTAATGTTAATTTAATGTTTATATAGGCCAAAGAAAGGTAACGTGTTAGCAGCTCAACATCAAAGTTATCGCCCAGTCAATGGGATTCACAATCGTCATGTACATATTCCAACTACTTTAAATGTTAATCTCTAAGTTTATGAAGATAGACGACTTATCGTTTTGTCTTAACCTTTAAGTAAAGTAACACAGAAGGAGATTTAAAAAAATTTTTTTAATTAGTTCATTAGCCTAACAGTTGCATAACTTGTGTAATAAAAAAAAACTCCCCAGCTTGCGGAGATAACGGAAACAAAGTTAATGTAAAGTTCAAATAGTAAAATATAAGATCTGCAAGACAAAGCATGCCTACAAGCTTTGACTTTAGGCCCTCAACTTACACATAGCAGTGAAGAATAGTAAGATTAATTCCGATTGGGATAATTCAGACGCTGGAAGAAATAAGAGCGGTGGTCAGAGATTGTTGCCACAAATTCTCTGTCTCGAACTCTCAAGTGCAGTAGCTAATTTATATTCTAGTGGAAAGTTAGGAAATTAGAAGAAAAAAAAAAGAAAAACTTGTAAGCAGACATAAATCTCTACAGCTGCACAGAAATACGCAACTTTGCGCGCGTTCTTCTGGCATTTGTAAAAAGGAGTGCATCAAATTCTAATTTCAAAAATGATACGAGTAGATGGATCAAATTTTCGCGTCTGTGCACGATTGGAAGAGTGGAAAAAGGATAGCTACAGACACAAGTCTGCACAGAACTCAAAAGACGTCAAAAGCGTTATATGAAAAGTCTGGAAGCTGTTTAAAAAATGGCGATGTATGCAGACAAACAAGTCAAGATCAAAAGCGTGCCACCGAAGTTCGCTGCAGCTACAGAAATTCTACTATCCAGATATACCGTGAGTGATAGTCTGCATAAAAATATAGCTGTATGGCAGAGTCCATGAATTTATCCCGCATACTCGGGCTGCAAAATGTTCCCCGTTGCAGTGGTGCAGACTATTGGACTACCACGACTAGAAGCCAGCCCTCTTTACTAATGAATCCCATTTCTGTTTGGAGACTGATTTCAGAGGTATTCCAATCTGGATTGATAGAACAAAAGTACACAAACGTACGTAACGTATATGATATCTTGGCTGTTGACTTTCTGCGAGTGTTTTGAGTTCTGTTGTGTGTTTGAGTAAACACTACAACTAGCTCTATGGACTCTAACTATTAGGTGCCGCTGATTTCCTTCCCCAAGGTATCGAGATGGAAATAATACTTCTATGCAGACAGAAACTCAGTAATATTTAACTTAAAACTTTCATTAGTCTCTACTTGAGAATTAACAAAAATGTACATATTCACTTGACTATGATAAAATTCACTACTGAGAGTTTTCTTCCACTTTCATCTGAAATCCACTGCAAACAAGCAAACTCACCATGAAGACCATCTTCGACAGCTGGCTCTGGAAATTCTTAGTTGCATTTGTAAAGATGCAGTGCAGGTCTATACTGACGGTAGATCCTACTGGCAGCGGTATTTTTATTAGGACCCCCCCCCCCCCCCCCACCTTGAGCCTACAGTAAAGCAACGCAACCCTCACACTTGCCCTGTCTTCAGGAGCGAGTTAATTGAGATTAATGTAGGGCTTGATGCTATCATGTCTTGTGATTGTGATTTTGGAGAACTGCGGATTTTATCGGATAACCGCACTACAACATCTTAGTTGGCTGGTCCTCCGCAAATGATGAGACCAGCGTATCTTTCTGCTCACACTCTCTCAGCGTCGCAGAACACTGGTAGTTCGGTCCGAGGTTCGAATTCTGAGAACGGGCTGGCTGCATGGGCGTTTTCGTGGTTTTCCCCCATGTGTAACGTGTATACGAGCCAGTTTCCCTTAGAAAGTCCTCCCCGAAAGCATCCCTCCTTTAAGGCAGATAGCCCCCGAGTGCTTTGCCGTAATCTAATAAATCCAAAAACCAAACCAAATTCTCTGAGACCCACAACGTCCACTTCCAGTAGAACCCATGACATGGGTCGCTGATAGACTAGCCAAAGAAGGTAAGGAGAACGAAACGGCCACCGGCTCTTCGCTTATCAAGAATTTTACTCAAATGAAAGATCTAAACTCAATTTAATATTTATGTCGTGTTCGACCTACGCATGAATGGTACACAAGAACATCCCCTGGCTCTCTGCTGGAAATCAAATGTGACCATGGCTCCCAGACTGCTCTGGCTACACTAACAAGTTGTCATCTTGAATATCTTTCCTTTGATAGTGGCAGAAAAATCCACCCCACTTGTAAAAAATGCTGTGACCATCCAGCTTCACCGGATCACATTCAGAGCTGCATCGGACTTTCTAAAGGGGACTTAACATCCAGTACCCTTATTATTACAGATTTTTTGGTTTTCACCAACCTTCTGAAGCTGATCTGGCATAAGTCAGATCATTCGAGAATAAGCAACAACAGCATAATAAAATTCACATTTCAGTGTGCTACTCTAAGAGGAACCACAAATTTAATTTAAATCATTTTAATGTGCTAAGCTTACCGTTTTCGACAGGATTTCTCCGGGATTATCTACTCTGGTTAGGATTAAACTGCAGTCTTTAGAGCCACTATTTGCGAATGGTTCCGTCCTCTAGCTTACTCGCCACCTAGGTCCCGACTCGGCTGATGTCTTTCAGGTAGCCGGCAACTTCAAACAGGCTCAGACATCAGACAACTTCTTGGTTCCAGTTAAACTACTTATACCTCTACATTCGTATTAGAAATCTGCATAACCGTATAAAGGAAAGGAGCTTACTTACTTACCACCAGCCGAGTTGCTGTACCACCTATTATATGACTATCAGCATTTGTGCTCAATGGGTGGAGCATTCTAAAGTCGCTAGGTCTAGTCAAAAATTTCTATAGAGCATTAAACTTTATAGCAGAATTTAAAAAGTTACTTCGGAAGATAGGTATTTGTGACCTGTTTTTATTAAAGAGACCCTGACAAGACTCCGACTGCTCTGAATGAGTTAGCAATGTTTTAGGGATTCTGAGTTTACAGAGAACGTTTACTCTAGAAGTCAGTAGTAACTTGGATAAAAGAAGTTATTCTGATGCATTATACTGAACAATATTGATTGGGTATATTAATGTATGTATGGACATCATATGTGCTATTCATATATTTGCAGAGTTCCTGTGTAATATTTGCTTGTCACGTTCATAGTAGTCGCTTGTGTTATTCACTTATTTACGGTTTGCTTACAGTTCACTTACGTATAGTCTGCGTGATGCTGAGAAATACAAATCAGTGTGTAGGGTTAGAAATTTATGTGTTCAATGAAAAATGTGCAGTTCACTTACACACAGAGCACCGTTTTATATCTGCCTGGCATTTTGTACCGGTTGCTGGTACAGAACACTTGAACATGGGACTAGAAAATATTAAGTTCATTATACCACCACTCAGAAAGTAGATCTGTGCTGAGATCTTTTTCTTTTCCTTTAAAAAAAATAGATTGCTTTTAGATTTTTGCAGTTCATTGCCAAGTAATCTATGAGAGTTTTAAGTTTGTTTCATAGTAGCTTGCTCTTTTGGAGTTGTTTCAGCCAAATCTGAGCATTTTCAGCTGTGTACGGCCGGAAATGGAAGTCTTTGGCGGCTTCGCACGCGAACATGTAGTGATCGATGATACCTATTGACCTGTATCTGCATGAATCTGTGTGGTGCAATCCGAAGTGAAACAAATAGGCTGCCTCTATGTAACTAAATCAGAAATGGTAGAAAATATGCAAACTGGCATAAAAGCTCTTGCGAATCTAATTTAGATAGAAAATTTATAATGTATTTAAGATTACACAACTTGATGCCATATTACAGTAAATTTTCAGTTTAAAAGTTAGACGGTGTGTAGGGTCGTATTTTATTTTTCTAATAGTTACTTTTATTTTAGAAACAGCTTTCCTTTACTTCCTCATTTTCCAATCAGAATGATTTTTCAATTTTACGCTTTGTACGAATAGGGTAGGAACGACTATTTAACCCTTTCCGGCGCGCTACCTTTTAAAGTCGGAGTTTTGATAACAGAAAAAAAAAAAAAAAAAAAAAAAAAAGGTAGGCAGTCTAATTAGGCCTAGAAGAGTACACAAGTGAAATTTTGTGAAGATAGCACTTATCGTTTTAATTCTGTGGGTGTGCCCAAAGTGGCACACTGATTGAATAGAGCTTCGAAAAGAGTGCTAAAACGAGCATTCATGTCAATGAACTGACCGATGAGATGCGGAGAAAAAAAGAATACAGACTCTCAGTTGTCCTAGATGATCGGTGAGCCCGGTCTGGGGACACCTAGGGTTCGCCGTTTAATTTTAGGCAAGATTTCAAGGTAAAAATTTAAAACTAATATAGAATAAGGAGATTAGCATACAGCCAAAAAATAAACATAGAAATTTCTTTTCAAACAACTCCTTTTATACCCTAAAAAAAAATCTGGAAGATTTCTTTGAAAAATGGTGTGGTGTGGTGGCGTGTGGTGTATTTAATTATGGCAAAGCACACTAGGGCTATTTGCCTAAGAGGAGAGATGCCTTTCGTGGAGGACTTTCTAAGGGAAACTGGCTCGTATACACGTTACACATGGGGAAAACCACAAAAACACCCATGCAGCCAGCCCATTCGCGGGATTCGAACCTCGGACCGAACTACCAGTGTTCAGCGACTTTACCGCTCGGCCGCTGGTGGGCCTCTTTGAAAAATGAGGGTCTTAAAAAACTGAACATGGTTAAAATATGTGGACTGGTTTGTGTTGAGCTGCCATGTACTATACATAAAGAAGGTTCAGAGTAACCTATAGTAACCTATAAATCCTTTTGCATTCAATTTTTCTGTGCGTACAGATGGAAAATTTTAGGTGTGTCCAGACTGGACACACTGTGCCGCAAAGGGTTAAGCTGAGGTGTGAGTTGCTTCAGTCCTATGCTGTTGATTTTAGATAAGAGCCAACTACGCAGTAAACAAGTCTGTGCAGCTTAGGCTGTTTATTCTACTTAGCATTCGTTTAATTTTACATTCTATTAGATTCTAGCAGTTAAGAGATTTTATTTTAGCTAGAACACTACAAGTGTTATTAAACAACTTCTTTATATATGTACCCTTGTCTTTACTCAGGTATTACATGTGCTCCTCTGAAACAATTCTCCCCGCATGTTGTACCATTATCATTAAAAGAAGATAAATTCGCCATTGGAGATAAGTTATCATTTGTCTGTGAACCAGGATACAGAGCATTCGGAGATCTGACATCTCGGTGCCTAGCAAACAGCTCATGGTCAGCGCCTACTGGTGGATGCAAAAGTAAGTGTATTTTCTGTAAATGTAAAGGCGGGAAAGAGATTTTCATATTTTAAAATATTCTTACAAAGATGCCCATGGTATGATAACTTATTCAGAAAATTTATCCTGATCAGCCAAAACATTCTGACCACTCCTTCACAGCGATAAAGCTCTCACCGGAATGACATATAACAAAACGTACAATTCTGAGTATCATTAATACTAGTTGCCACTACTTCCGTGGATCTGCTGCCCAGATGGTATAGTGGTTAGGGGAGCCTGACCACGATACCGAAGGGATCCGCGTTCAAATCTCAGAGAAGGCATGGATGTAAAATTGTCTGTCTCTTCATAGGAGGTGACGGTGGCTTATTAAGTGCCTCCACAATAAAATGGCCCCCACTTAGGCAGTGCCTCCTAAATATATAAAGCCATCAGACTGGTTTGTGGCGTCACGAGCACTAGGCCGTAGAATACGAAATGGCGGAACTTCCGATAGCGATAATTTCTCCGTGCATATGAGTATCAATTTGCGTAAAATAATGAACTCTCAGAATAATGCAGAAACTATATTTCCGCAATAAAATGTTATGTTACTATCGGAATATCTTTGGAAACTGTTTTTAATTCATTAGACTGATATTACTTAAAATTAAAATATATATTTTTTATTGATTAAGAATACTTTTATGATGATACCTGCAAATTTAAGATTATGAGAAAGTAAGTGTTCCGAAATGTTTTTATCACCTCAATAACAATTATTTTAAATAGTTTAATTATGAAATATTTTTAAATGAAATCTTAATTTTTATTTCTTTCAGGTTAGATCCTTAATAGGAAACACAGTTACTCCTAGTACACTTTTAATGCTATTGATCACATTCTTTAACATGAATCAGACAAAGCTTCTATAGAAAATTAAACAGACTTCATATTTTTATTTTCTGTCTATTAAAAAATAAATAAAGAGAAAAACTTTAAGAAACAGAAATATTGTTTTTAAACTCGCATAGCTTTTCAAAAGCAATGAAAGTAATTAAAATTTTAGAATAAATACTAATTTAAGGTCAAATAAATATTATTACAGTCAAAAGTCGTTATTTCGGACACCATAATCCGGACCTCACAGCTAAAAACTTTCTGCGCATGCGCCGCGTTGGCACATGCGCACAGGCGTTTTACGCGTGCGCTTAAGACCTTGACTACTGCGCATATGCGTGTGCGCAAGTGCAGAGTACGTTTTCGCCTGCGCGTTTAATGTATAACGGACGGTGTAAGCTAAAATTATCTAATTATCTATTTCAGTTAATGTTAATGATTGCGTTATTCCTTAATCTTCGAATTGGATCCCGCTTATTTTTTGCAGACTGTAAGAGCAATTTTATAAAAGTAAACTTGAACTTTCGATTATCTCAAATAGAATTTCCGATGCTGGAAATTCCAAAGGATCTACAAAACGAAAGTATGTTTCGATGTCCAACAAACAAAAAGTGGAATTGCTGCAAAAAATGGATAAAGACATGAAGAATGTGACAGAGAGGTTAGTGAAAACGAAAAAATTTCGATTGACTAGTTAGTCGGTATTCTCGGCACAGCAATTAACGGAACTTGAAAAGCGGAACTTTGTAACTGAACAAGAAATTATGTCTTTTTATAGAATTAAAGAGAAAGTATTATCACATAAAATGAAGCAACTTAAACAACTTACATTGAGAGAAATGTTTAATAAAGTAAACAAATAAATATTAAGCTTTTTTTTTTTTTTTTTTTTTTTTTTTTTTGTAAATTTTGATACCTTTTAGATCATAATTGTTCTTTATTTCATAAATTACGGTTTCATATTTTTAGTTTTAGAATTTCTGCATGCCATCTTACGAGATTTAAACTGATTATCGATAATCCGGAATCGCCGAACTCCCGACAAGTCCGGATTAACGACTTTTGACTGTAACTTTAAAATTAAAATGAGTAGCTTCTAAAAAAATTATCATAATTATACTCACATTACAATACAGAAGCAATAAAACTCATTAAAGATGCATTAACATTTTATATGTAAGGTAATAAAATTTAATACTTAGCAAAACTTTATCATCTTAAATATCAAATTTGGTTTCATAAAATTATTAGAAGCTGAATTTTCAAATTATTCAATTAACAATCAGCTCTGAAAGCCATAACTCCTCGATATCTTAAAAATTTCTGATATGTTGTTTTAGCTCATCTGTTAGATCAGATGTCAGATGTTTTTATAAAATCATATTCCTTGAAAATATATACTCTCAACTGTGTGAAAATTATAACATGTGTATAAGATATAATTAAATACGATGGCTATGTTAAAAAATGATTGGTGGATATAAACGTCTTGATTTTCAAACAGAGGATCATAAAGTAATTTCCATGCATTAAATAAGATTGCAAGAATTTCGCTACAGAATGAGGTGTATTATTATATTATTCAGCAACCTGAGGTAACAGTTTTGTCCATGCAATATTACTCTGATAAAAATTCAATTTACACTTTAATCTAGTTATAATTGTTTGATTAACTCATTCAACTTTACCATTAGTTTGAGGCCTGTTAGCAGTAAATAATAATTATTTTACATTTTATTTCTTGAACAGTGCTTAAATTTTTAAGCAGCAGCATTTCTATTACTTAAAATTTTCTTTGGTACTTGAATTTAAAAAATGTGTCTTAAACAATTTAAGTAACTATCTGTAGTTACACTTTTAGAAGCACAAGTCCATATACAGTACAAAGTCCGTAATCCGAACGTCCATTATGCGGAATAATCTATAATCCGGACCTCAAAATCACAAACTTACGCATGCGCGTTTGATGCTCGCGTCCGTTACGCATGCGCATAAAGCCAGTAAAGCGTTTACGCATGCGCACTTCTGATAGTGAAGAACAGAGAACGTTATTGAAAACGAAGAAATTTCAGTTGACAAGTTAGTCGGTATTCTCGACACAGCAATTACAGGACTTGAACAGTGGAACTTTGTAAATGAACAAGAAATTATGTCTGCTGATAGAATTAAAGAGAAAGTATTAGCACAAAAAAACGAAGCAACTTAAACAACTTACATTGAAAGAAATGTTTACTAAAGAAAACAAATAAATATTAAACTTTTTTTTTTTTTGTTGTTGTTGTAAATTTTGATACCCTTTAGCTCTTTATTTCATAAATTACGGTTTGATATTTTAATTGTATAATTTCTGCATGCCATCTTACCAGATTTAAATTGATGATTCCGGAAAAAAAAAAAAAAAAAAAAACCTAATCCGGAATCGCCGAAGTCCCGACAAGTCCGGATTGCGGACTTTGTACTGTCAGTTAACAAACGTATGCATAAACGTATGCTTTGTACTGTTTGTAGCATGATCAATAATAAAGTGAATATAATTTTTAATAGAATTATTATAGTTTAAACCCCCAACAGTATCAATAGATAATAATTCAAAAGGTTCATTAACAGATGGTAGGGTTTGCATTAAACCAAACCATACTATCTGAACTAAACCTACAACCATGAACTAGCAAGTCTGCTCTAGGAACAGGATTTAAAAATTTAAAACCTTGCTCTACAGAACATCCCAGCTGTTTTATTTATTTATTTATTTATTTTTTTTTTTCCCTTCCCTTGAAATAAAATGCCAAGTATTTTCCTGAGATAAGAGATAACAGATCACCAATATAGTCATTAAAATAAAATATGTAATGGGCAACTATTGCTGTTACCTATGTAAAATGTTTAAAATAATAAAATAGAACAAATGAAGTCTTTAAAGTTATTTATTTACATAATATATTTAAAGATAATTTCATAAATTTTTAATGTTTTAATACAGAAACAAAAATTAAATTACAAAAATAATAAAATTACAAATATACTTACTAATGCATGTTGAGATAGTAATCAAAATTAAAAAGTGAAATACGATAAAATTATTTTCCAAGCCAAGATTATATTGGTACATTCCTAATATATTCTTTGTTATTTATGCTTACACAGCAACTGTTTTTAGTTTTCTTTTATCTGAATATTTAGTAACACTCATTTTTGAATTTACAATAATTGTTTAAAAGAGTATTTGTACATGAGTATATTAGCAATTGCATAATTTTTAGTGATAAATGGTTTTTACAGGAAATAATTTTAATTTCCTTATACATAAGAATTTCTAATGCGGATATTAAATTACATTGGTTAGATACTTGCAGGAAACTTTTCATATTCCGGGCTTATAAGCTTCTGTACAAAATACAATTATGCATACGTTTGTTAACTGATGTATGTAATTATGTAATTTAACTAGATTTGTTGTACAGTATAGGTTTACTATGAATCACATTTTTAAAAATTGTTAAGCTTTACATAAAAGATTAGGATAAAATTTGTAAAACAGTACTGAAATAATAACAAACTTTTATAAAAGAATATACGTAACATTAGATACTGCGCACATAAAATGAAAACTTCAGTGTAGCACCTAAACAAAATATATTAAGTAAATTCAGAAATAAAATTAATAATAATAATGGTTAATCTACTAATGATTCAATAGCACCTGCAGTGTAGATAATACAAAGATAAACATAATAGGTATACGTGTGTTCTTAGCAATTACTACTTAATTTAATTCAACATTAGTAATAGCAAGCGTTTATTTCAATGGACAAAATATTACATTACAAAAAGTTACATTACAATAAATACGAACTTACCCAGTATTTCTGCTCCTCCACAGCACGTGCTAACATTCCACTCTATATATACCGCAAAACAATGGCTTCCACCCAAAGCTCGAGAACATCACATGGGCCTACTAACTTTGACGTCACACTTGTTTCTGCAACCTGTCCATTGGCTTTATATCTAGAAGGTACTGCCTTAGGGGGCAATGACGTTATAAGCAAGTGCCCGGCATTGCGGGGGGGGGACTTCAGTGGTTTGCGCTTGTAGTTTCACATACTTTCATCTCGACAGTCGGACTTCATGCACATGGCTCCCCGCTATGAAGCATTAAGCCTATAGAAAATTGTACTCTCAAAAGGCAGACAAATGAAGAAACTAATCGTAGGGTTAATGCCGTGGATGATTTACTGGAAAGTGAGGCTATTAACTGGATGGCAGACTCAAATCCTACAGGACATGACTGGTGAGATGCTGTTGGGAGAGAAGCTGTAACTCGCCTTCCCTGTTACAGAATTCTCTACGACTGAAAACAGTATTACTGCAAGAGTAGACTACTATGACTCACAAATGTCTCATTAATAATATGAGATCATATTGCAAGAACTGTATTAAAGGAAGCCATACCCTCTGTTAGCCTCCTATTCCTATAGCTATCCGCTATTATATGAATTTTTTCGATCTTGCTACATGTTTTAGACCTTTTCGCGCCAATAAGCCTTTTACATGATCGTGTGTGTATATCCTGACTGTTGTATGGTATATTTTTCGTATTATACGAGTAAAAAAATCCATTCAAACATGCCCATGTTCTGAGGATAATCGACCAAATGTGAAAATTCTCTTAATTTTAACATCAGTGTACTTTCTCTTACTTTTGATTTTCTTCTTCAATGGCTGGACAGCCCTGGGTGGGCCCTGGTCTTTTCCAGACATCTCTACTTTTGGCAACTGTTTTCCAGTTTTTAACCTTTAAAATATTAAGATTCTTTTTCGACACAACCAATCTATCTTAGCAGGCATAGAGAAAAGTGGACTCCGTCAGTTACTTTTACAGGTATTACTCTGCCGTACTACTGTACCCGCTGGGCGTTCGGTTGGCCCGCATCAAAAGCCAGCCATATTTAGCCTGTTTCAGGCATTTGCAACATTTCTGAGCTTGCATTATAATCCATCTTAGCAGGGGTCTGCCTCGAGATCTGTTTCCCATGGGCTTTCCCAGAAGGATTTTCTTGCAGCAACAATCTTCAATAATTCTAGGCAGATAGCCAGCCCATTTAAATCTCTGCAATTTGACGAATTTTACAATATCAGGTTGTTTGTAAATTTTATAAAGTTAAAAAAATTCTCCATCATCCATTCACTTGGATCCCACCAAGAATGTAACATAAGATCTTTCGCTCAAAAATTACTCTTAATTTTAGTAATGTTAATTTTATTCGAAATCTGTTAGGTTTAGCCCATTAGCTATCGAGTGGATGAGGCTAGTAGTTTGCCACATGTTCCGCACTAATGGCGTAGGTTTCTACTCCATGTATATCGTGAATAGGAGTCAGTATCTCATAGAAACTCCTCCACAAAGGCATCCCACTTGTTAGGCGTATTGTGCTTTGCCATTATCTAATAAACTCCCTGCGCAATTTTTGATGCATTTGCTTCATTTATTATTTTTGTCTATTATCTATTGCATTACATTAAATGTTATTTATTTATCTTTTCTATTCCATGAAGTTTTATTTAATTAACTTAATAAGATTTAAAGTTCTATTCATTTTGTTCTCATTTCAGTTGGCCTTTAATAAGACTTTTCATTTAAAAAAATTGAGCAAGAGATTAATCTGAATTTATTTTAAACATTACATTTTTACCATACTACATAATAATCAAGCTAAAGCACGTTGACTAGTTTCATTCTAATCTTGATTTTTATCCGCACTTTAAAATGCACTATGCTAAAAATTTATCTTACATATCTAATTTCTTTATCTTACATATATAATTTTAAATTTATCTTACATATATAATATGTATCTGAAGACCGACCAGGAAGAAAAGTTTTTGTTAACAGTTTATTTTGGTATCCGTTACAAGGACAGACTGCAGTGCCTAAACTGACCGATAACTGAAATTTCATTGTGTTATGTTAGCTATATTTGTACAGCAAAGTTTCCTAATCCAGCATTACTGAATAAGTTGTCATTTGTATTAATTTATTTTAATTGCTTTATTATATTTAAAATTGTAGCCACGTTTTTTGAGCATATTATACATCCAACTCCATTACAACAATTTTTTTTCAGGATATCCTTAATATAAATGGTACTTTTTGTTACTATAGGAATGTCTTGTGGTCGTCCAAGAACTAATACTGGTGCAATTTTATTGGGAATGTCTTATCAGTATAGAGATAATTTAGTAGTTGTGTGTCCACCTGGTACTAAAGTCAAAGGGAAGAAAATTCTTTCTTGCTTAGATACCGGAGAATGGGATGGAAATGCAACATGTGAAGGTATGTTTTAATTCATGATGAAAAAATTAATTGTAATAATAAAAAAATTTTTAAAAATCTGAAAGGTTTCAGATTTTAAATTACGTCTAAAGGGGCGGATGTTTTGTGTGTCACCTTTATTTATTAAATATCATGTTTTTTGCACTTAAACCATAAAATTCAGTTCAATAGCAATGTTGCAAAATAATTTTAAAATGAGCATATCTTTACAATTTCCGATACACAATTCCGCACGCTGGAGATATAAAGGTTTTTTTCCCTTCCCATAGAGTGTTGTCATTGCTCGCTTTGAAATCCTCGAGTTTGTTAATCAAAAATTCGTTAAAGTTTTACAAAATATGAAATCGATAATAAAACAAATTCCAAATTTGGTCTTCCACATGCCCACATTCGTATAAGGATTACATCATTCAAAATTTGATGGCTCTATGTACCGTAGTTTTATCAGAATGCGAGAAATTTACATACATTTATGCAGTTTTTTCATTATTTAATTTCTTCAAACATAATGCAGGACTCTAACATTTGGTGGCAACAGTTTGAAAAGTGACGAAATTTCCGATACACAGTCTCGCGCTGGAGATAAAAATGTCCCCCCATACAGTATCGCCATTGCTCGCTTTCAAATCGTTGAATTTCTTAATCAAAAACTCATAAATGCATTACAAAATATGAAATAGATAATAAAACAAATTCCAAATTCTGGCTTCCAGATGCCCATATTCGGGTGGAGGATTACTTTATTCAAAATTGGATGGCTCTAGGTACCATTTTTCTATCACATGCGAGAAATATACATACATTTATGCAGATTCTTCATTACTTAATTTCTTTAAATATAATGCAGGGCTGTAATATTTGGTCTCAACAATTTGAAAAGTGATATGTTGTTTATAGTGATTTGACACAAAATGCCGAAACAAAATTAATAGCCCTTCTGGGCTAATGCTCTTTGGACTAATAATAATATAATCTTATATATTGATGAATAAATAATCTGTAACGAATCATGAAACAAAAGACCTATATAGATGGTAAAGAAAATGTTCTTTGAGGACAGCTTAAAAGAATTAGCTTTATCATTAAGATAAGAGTACTCAATTAAATGTACATTGAAAGTACTTGAAAAAGAGTACATTGAAAAACTATGTAATAATGTTAATGAAAACTGACAAAATAAAAAAACAAATCTTACCTAAATTCCTAGAATTTCGGAAACACCCCTCGTACATACATTTGCTTATGCTACACGAGTCGCAACATAGTAGAAAATACCTCATAGTTTAATAGCATAAAATTAAAATACAAAATTTCGTATAGCCAAACATTTAACTACTTTTGAAATATCAGATTTATAATTGCTACATGCTACTCACAATAATACATCATCAAGGTGAGAATTGATAAGTAGATTAATTAAAAAATTTTAAAAATAAATAAATTTTAGTACTCGCATTAATGAGGTCGATTAAGCGTATCAAATTTTGTACCATTAATTCTAATGTTTGGATGTATGCATATCTCTGAGGTCGGCACACACACCAAGTTGATTTTGGTACATTGTTTTTATTTGAATTAGGAATGAAAAACCTTTCTCTCACAGATACGTAGAAACAAACCGAGTAATAATTTTTAAAGACTCATTGAGAAGAATACAATATTCTATTTTCACTGGCAATGAGGTTCTGAAACTGACCAACCATACCTTGTGCTCGGAATTTCATTGTAAGTCCCATGTGATTCGAGGTTCAATTAAGTGTTCTCTTTCATTCAATGACAGTTCGTTATTTCAAAATCGCTTGTCAATCCGAATTTTTTTTTTTTTTTTTTTTGAAAATCTGCAAAGATCACAAGCTGCTTTATATCAATACACAATAATTGTAATGTAACCTACTTTTTTGTGTATTTACTAGGTGTGACGCAGAAAAAAATGAGGCTGGTCCAATAAATCATTATATTTACAGAATAAGTTCTCCGTGACATTTTCACCTTCAAAGCAGTCCCCTTCAGCATCCACAGACTTCTGCGTTCGGTGCTGCCATTCCTAGTAACAGTTCTGGAACGAGGTATTTAGAAGGCCCTTCGGAAGAATCTCTGTTTTTGCCTGAACCTCTTCAACTGAGGTAAAATGGGTTCTCTTTAACACGTTCACGCCAGCGCGTGCCACCGGTGGCCCACACTAGTCTGTCTCATCGGGTGGTGCGTACCACGGGTGGGCTGCACTAGTGTGTCTCATCGGGTGGCGCGTACCACCGGTGGGCCGCACTAGTCTGTCCTATAGGGCGGCGCGTGCCACCAATGGTACGCATTCGATTGTGTTATTAGACGCTGAAAATTAACATATATTTATTATAAAAACTTTTTAATAAAAATTATAATTAATAACTATTAGCAAACTTACAACTCGTATACAGGTCTGAGCAGGTAATAATCGCGTGCCGCTAGATGAAACGCGGCAAAAATTCGAGCGGCGAAGAACATTAAAATTGGCCTCGGCGTGAACGTGTTAAGCAAGATTTAACTTAATTTATAAGGAAATTAACAAAAGTCGCATGGAGCCAGGACATGTGAATACAAAGGATGCCCCATTACAGTAATGTTTTGCTGGACAGAAACTGCTCGACAGATAGGGCCGTGTGAGCGGGTGCATTGTCCTGATCCAACATCCATTCATCACTCCCAACTGTGGCCCTTTTTTTTCCTAATTTTTTTAGTCTTTTTTATTAATCAACACTACTACATTGAAGTACTACCTGATCACTGGGAACCTACTTAATCATGATGAATGTGCTAGGTGCCCAGCATGTTCATCATCTTCCACACTTTCCCTTCTCCCCTATAAAAAATGCTTATGCCATTCAAACACAGGTGCACGAGACAAAATTTCATCTCCATAAGCCTCGGTTAATATTTGAAATGTTCCTCCGTGGCTGATTTCTTAAGTTTCACAAGAAATGTGATGTTGATTCGCTGTTCGGTTTTTACATTAGACATTTGTTTCCGGCAGAATGCAGTTGCACGCATTCACTCAATGATGCAGTACTCCCAACTGGCGAGATCGGTTAAGTCGAAACTGGCCTCATGGATAGAGGATATGTGTGGCATGATGTTGACAAAACAGTTATTGCCAATTCCACACTTTTTTCAAGCTACACAGTCTTGTTTTTCTTGTGTCACACCTCGTATACTTCAGTTACATTTATTATAATTTTTAGGCTTTTGTGTAGAACAAGAACAATTATTGCTTTATCTTGAGTTAACTGGAAATGAGCATTTCAGATATTTTGGCTATGAAAGGATAAATATTTTTTTTTCAGGTATGTGTACCCGCCCTTGCTTAAATGGAGGTGTCTGCATACCACCAGGATTATGTAGTTGTCCATCTGGGTTTGTTGGAGATGTTTGTCAGCATGGTGAGTTTGAAATAATAGCAAGCCATTCATTAAATATGTTTATCCTATTTCTAATGAAATGGTGAACATAAACAATATGCATTATTCAGTCAGTTTATGTAACGATGCTGTTGTGACAACTCTTAAAAATAATGTTTTTGCCTAAAATACATTTTTAACCAATTGTAAATCATGAATTTGAATTTCTTTCCTTAAAGCATCACTAATAATAATCAATTTTTATCACTCACAATACTATTTTTCTCTAAATTTTAGAAAAGTCTTGAGCTATTATAATAATTATTTCTTTTCAATCATTTTAAATTTCATAAAAAATTAACTTTTATAACACACATAAGTGAAAAATTATTTTTACTATATAACTAGTTTAACTATAGTAACTCTAATGTTATTGTCAGACAAGTGTGAAATCAGTTACAAGTCATAACTATACTAACTACATGCTTGTGATTGCAGCATGTTAAAAAAGACTGCTTTGGTGAAAATTCAAGATATATGAACTAGTATATTATCCAAATCATTAATGCTCTGATATATTTAAAAAGAGTAACTGCAAGTGCTTGATGAAATCATAATATATAAAACTTAACACTCATTTTCTTTTAATGACTGAGTAATTTTATGTGTAGCAGTGTTCCTCTCATTTTTAAACTAGAATGAATGATAAGTGTTCCATAATTAATTCACAGAGCACACATACTAGAAAGATATAAAAGACTACCATTTTGAATGGATGAACAGATACATTACTTTCATACATTACAAAATCAAAAGTTTAATTTCACTAAAACAAGGCATCTCTAATTGAAATCCCTTGTGTATATATAATAATGCTTCAGTTAATAATTTAGATTTCTTTTAAGCCTCAAAACATTCATCAAAACTTCTAAATTTTGTTAAGATGGCTGTTAAGATTTATAACTATTATTATAACTATTATTATTATTTTACAAAATTCTAAAGTAATATAATAATAATAAATTTGTATTTTTACAACCTATTAAAAGCTGCTGCAATCTTTTGCATTCATGTAAGGGTATTTTACTGTTATTCCTGAGTGAACTTCTTATTTATCAGTACCGCTAATATATTGCAGAATAACTTTAAAAAATAAATACAACTGAATTGCTTGTATGTTACAAATATGTGAAAATTTTCTCTCTATATATTTACTTTAAATAACATCTCATTTAAATAACAAATTTTTCTGCATAAACATAATTGCTATTGGTTTAATACAGAATCCAAAAATCAACTCAGGAAACATATTATGATAACAACACATTAATTAAAATATTTAAATTGTATCTGATTCATTGGATCCATAGTAATTGAAAAGGTAGTATTTAACACATTTATAAGTCATCCAAAATAATATTTTAATATATTTTTTTTTATTTTATTTAAAATTATATTGAAATTTTTAATGTTTTTATTCATTGAATAATTATATAATATAAAATATATAAAAATTTACTATTCAGTTAGCTTTTCAAATTTTGAAACACAACTGCTAACCAAATACAAATTTTTACTTTCTTAGCTGTTTGTATTCTTCCATGCCTTAATGGAGGAACTTGTGTTGGACCATATAAATGTTTGTGCACAGAAGGTTTTACGGGTTCCAGGTGTCAGTTGCGTAAGTATTGTAATTTTAAATTAAAGATATCAACCATATATGTATTACAGTCTTGAGATTTAATGAAAAATATAAAACTTTAATAAAATTAATTTATTTTACATATTAAAATTTATCATTCCATTAGTAAGAACTGAATGAATTGACAGACAGGTCCTGAGACAAAGCAAAAATGATTTGAAGAATGGTTATTAAAAATAACTATTACATCAGAATTGTCAGATAAAAGATGAATTTTATTATGTTAATCCTCAGAATAGCTTGCTATGAGAAATACTGAAAAAGGCACTGCCAATATATACCATCAATTAGAAAAATGTTTATTATTAATATTGTGTTTAATTATTTGTTATTATTAATATAGTGTTATTTCAGAATTCATTTTACAATTTATTTTTAAAACTAGACCATTATGTTGCCAGCCACCTAAAGCAATTATTATAAATATATAATTATGATTTTAATGAACCCAGCTTAAGTAATTTGATGGGTCTAGCTAATTAATAGTAACTTTGGAAGAAAAATTAAATATCTTATACAAAATGGTAATGAACTATACAGAAAATCTTTTATTTTGGGAAATGGTAACACATTTCTTTAAAACTGCTGAGTTCTTTTATTAAATCTGAGAGACAAATATTTTATATTTTTCTTCTTCTATATTGCCGAGTTTTCTGAATAAATTCGAAACAATGCATTGTGGAATGGTAACACAAAACTTTCAAATTACTTTTAGCTTGTGTTCAAAAGTTACTTAAATTCTCATAAAATATGAAATAAATAAAAAAATTCAAAATTTAAAATTGGGGTTTCAAGGTTCACACATTTGGGTGGAGGACTATGGATGTGTGTTCAAAATTTGGTAGCTCTGGATGCCACTGCTTTTCTATGATGTGATTAAACTTGAAAGACAAATATACTGCATTTTGATATGTGGCAACATACTTCTTTTACAACACCAAGTTCTTTAACATGTTGATGGTGGTGTGGATATTCATTGTTCTTTTCTTGTGGCGGCGCTTGAATTAGCAGTCTGTTTCATGAATCCCTCTAGTAAAGTAATAATAATAATAAAATCATACATTTTTTTTTATTTTATTTTAAATTCATATGAAGGATCCGCAAGGTAGATGAGAAAGCGATGCAAAGAATGCTATAAACGCTTAGCAAGCCTTAATTGTAAGGGCAAGCCGCCCTTTTTGTTTAGCCTGCTTTAAAAAATTGCATAGAAAAAAATTAATAATTATATTTAATTGTATTTAATTTATAAGTTACATTTAAAGTTATTCGTTTTGTATTGAATATTCGATTATAATGTCAAAATGTTAATGTAGACTGTTGAATAATTAAAATTAAATTTTATATTATGTATTGGTTGATATACAAGGGTGACCTATTGGTGAGTCATGCCACCCCACGGAACAGACAAGTATGACCCACTGATGGGTCAGGCTGGCATCAACATGTTAATTAAATATGAAACATATATATCCTATGCCTTGCAGAGTGGAAACAGAAAATTTTTAATCAAAAGTTCATTAAATTCGCACAAAATACAAAATAAATAGAAAATTAATTCAAAATTTTGGCTCTCTGGTGCACATGTTCAGGTGTTGAAGAACTGCATGTGCTTAAAATTTGGTGGTGCTATATACTGCGGTTTTTCCACAATTCAAGGAACATATATATATATATATATATATATATATATATATATATATATATACATATATATATATATATATATACATTCTTTATTATTTATAGTAGAGATAATATGCATAATGGGTTTTAAAAAAATTCATAAATTTATATTATATAGATTAAAAAGTAATTATTCAGAAATTATAAAATGAGCAAAATGAAAGAGAAAGAAACTAAAACAGATCACAAAAACTGATAATGAATTCAGAATAATGTCTCTAGTTCTAAATAACTCATTGATAGTTCTAATTTAAAAGCGCACAACCCATAAAAGAACATAGCAAGTCTATCTTTATTTCCCAATGATAGATACAGTTATGAAATTTAAATTAATATTTCTTCATTCCTATATGAAACATTTTCATGCTTGTTTCAATGCATTTTCAGTGGTTAGAATGGTAAGATTTGCATTACATATTTTACCAACTGAATTCTTAAATAAATAATAAATCACACATAATTGATCAGAAAAAAAAGAGAGAGAGAACAAAAGGGGGGAATACAGTAGGATAATTCCTAGATACATGAAACAAAAAGTAGCAAAAACTTAACTACATAAGATTTAAAACATTTAATATGCTTATGTTTTAAGCTCAAATGACATTTTATAAGACAAAACAATAAAGCTGAAAAGCACTCTTTATGATATTAATTAAATGTGTGTTTAGAGCTGTGCTTTAATGCAACATGTATTTATCAGTTTTCATGTCATTATTAATGTATAAATTATTATTGTTTAAAATGTTATCAAACTGCTAGAAAATTATCTTCACAGGAACTTTAAAATTCTGATCAGACTGTTAAACAAAAAAAGAAAAAATATTACTTACAGACAGTGTCTGAAATATTTACAAGTACTTTTTCTGTATTAAAATTTGGCAACATTTCTATCAAAAATAAATTTCTTTTGAATGCATAGTCTACCAACTGTTGCAGATTTTTTTTTTTTTTTTTTTTTTTTTTTTTTTTTTTGCTGGAAGTACGCCAGGAAAGTCCAATTCCCATTTTATAGAAGAAATAAATATTTCTAAGATTTCTCCTTCTTTGTAAATACTGATATTCTTCCTTTATTGTTTAATATTCTTTTTTTTCCCTGACCCTTTTTCATTTGTGTGCGCTTTTTGATTGCTTATGTGCCATGTATTTTAAAAATGAGACTCGCAAGAACTCATCAAAATAGCAAATAGATCTATGCATCTTGGCAAAATTGACTACTTTTCCTGCATATGGATTGATTCTCTTTGTACTTGCAAAGAAACATTGAAGGGATTTAGCCTAAAATGGGCAGAAATTGATAAAAGAATGAACGTTACTAAGAAAAGCAGTTTTTAATTCTTTTCTATTCTTTTATAATTTTTGTGCATACCATTAATAATATCTTTTCTTTTAATTTAGCAACAAGTAGCAGAAGAAGATTTCCATATGGATAATAAAGGGCCATTGTATTTAAAATAAATAGATCATATATCATCAAATGCAATAAGAGTCCCCTATTAAGACAGGGACCAAAACTTTTCAAATCTTTCTCTCAGCAAAGTAAAAATTTATTTCATCTTCATATTGAATGCAAGTTGAAGTATATTTGTAAAAATGTACAATTTAAAAGTTTTATACCTGTAAATGTAAATAAACTTATTTTAAGACTGAATTATATGTTATCCTTGTTACTTTTATGAATATGTATTATGTACGTAATTTAATTATCTTATGGTTATTTATTGAAATGAAAATAATCAATATTTTATTGGAAGGAATAAACTAATACAAAAAATGTATTCATGAAAATATTCAAAATGCATATATTTTCTCTGCATAAATTTGAGCAGGAATGTACATGTTCAACATTTTTTAAATATAAAAAAAAAATTGCAGTTAAAATAATATATCTTTTAAACTGCAAATGTTGAAGAATGTGTTTCTTTGTACTGTGAAGCCAAATGCTTTGCTTGTCGTATTTGTTTTCCTGAACAATAATCTTGTAAGAATACTGTAGCTAAATTGCTTAATCTTCTGTTACTACTTCCTTCAAAACATGAGTGCAAACAATTATTTTGAAGAAATAGCCTCAACTGTTGAGTTGGTTGTCCCATCGATGAGCCATGTTAAAGATGCCCCTCTAGTAGAATTCTCGCTGCACAAAATCAGATGCCATTCTTTTTGTGTTTAATGTCTAACAGGAATAATTTTTCTTTCGGGGATTTTTCCAGGGACTGAAGATGAAAAGACAAGACATATTTCATGCAAAGTCGTAGCAACATAATAAACTACACCATAGTGGAGCAGGTTCATATGTTTGTTTATGGGGGTGATTAAAAAACAATTCTTCTTCGTTATATGTCACGATCATTCCATTGTATCAGTACTGGTTTACATACTTTTGTACTCCTTCTCTCCTACTCAGGTCATCTTGAATGCATGGATATCAGTGTGAGATAAAACCTTTTTGAGAAACCCAAATGGAATTAAAATAATGCTTTAGTATTTCCCCTATGAAAAATATATTCTACATACATAATTACTTAATGGGATATTAGAAGGAAATAATCTGAAACTTTTACAGATACAACCATTGAAATTTTACGTAAGAAAAGCATCTTCTACTCGCATAATAACTTGCTGTTATACAAGCAAATAACCTGTAACAGTTACAGATATATCTGTTGAGGTTTTACATGAGAAAAGCATGTTCTTTTTACATAATTATTTGCTGTAATATTACACGCAAATAACCCGTAACCATTACAGATAGATCGTTTTGGATTTTCCATGAGAAAAATGTGTTTTACTTACATAACTATATGCTGTGATATTACAAAAAAAAAAAAAGAGAGAGAGAGAGAGAGAGAGAGACATGCAACCAATTACAGGCAAAATTCTTGTAAAGTTACAAAGAAAACACTTGTTACTGTTACTCAAATAACCCATAGCATCCCAGTTTCCATGAGTTTTCTTAGTAACCTTACAGATTTTTTTTTACAGTGTGAGAAGTTCATCTAATGTTAAGGGTTTGCGTAAATTATAGGATGAAATAGAAGTTAATATAAGAAATTTGCGTTCATTAAATGTAACGGAGGGTTCATATGGGCATTTATTAAATCCAATACTATTGAAATTGCTACCACAAGATTTGGTGTTAGATTTTCACCGAAAACGAAACAGGGAAGTGAATTGTGAGGTTTGGGAAATTATTACGTTTTTGAGGAGTGAAGTGGAATCTAGGGAAATTGCCGAACTGTGATGAGCCCCCCGCTAAAAGTTACGAAATGAAACGATCATTTTCCCAAAATTATCAAAGTGGTCAAACTTAGCAGAAAAACTTTTCAAAGCCTGAAAATATATCAACCGCTTCAGCGTTAAATACACAAATAAAAAATGTTTGTTTATTCTGTGACGGTTATCACGATTCCGTAAGTTTCAAAAAATTGGATGTAGAACAAAAAATAAATAAGCTAAAGATTGAAAGTAGGTGCTGGTGTTGTTTAAAAATAAGCCCTTTTTACAAACATGTACAGTTTTAACCTGTTCGGATAAAAAATCGGTTTTAACTAAATGTTATTTTAGACAGTGGTAGTCATCGAAGTTTTATTTTATCTCGATTAGTTAAAGGATTAAAATTAAGGCCAATACGCTACCAAAGAACAGCTATTTTTGCTTTCGGAGACAAAATGGCACGTGAGAAGGAATACTATAAAAAATGCTACAAGTCCATTCCGCCCCTTAACGGGCCTCAAGGGATCCACTACACTGGAGCTGAGAAGGCAGAACTTTTAGCGCAGCATCTGGAATCTCAGTTCTGTATGAACAACATTTCAGACAACAACACAGATCAGCTTATTGCTGACTTTCATCACAATTACACAACAAGCCCATACACCGACCATAATCTTAGTCATGCCGTCGGAGGTCTGCAGTTACATCAAAAGGCTGAGAAGGAAAAAGAGCCCTGGGTTGGATAGTATTTCCAATCAGATGATCAAGAATTTTCCACCAAAGACCATATGTTATTTCACCAAGCTGTCTAACTGCATCTTACAGTGGCAACACTTTCCGGCATAGTGGCAACACTTTCCGGCATGTTGGAAAACTGCTCAAATTACGGCAATACTGAAACCTCACAAACCAGCCACTGCACCCGAGTCCTATCGTCCCATCAGCCTCCTGAGCTCTGTCAGTAAACTAATGGAGGCAATAATACTGAGCAGATTGAATAAATATCTGGAGGAGCATAAGGTCATCATTCCATACCAATTCGGTTTTCGTCAGAAGCACTCAATCACCCACCAGCTTTATAGAGTTGTGGAGATGATCAGTGATGGCTTACAAAGAAACAGAGTGACTGGAGGTCTGTTTCTAGACATTGCTAAGGCCTTCGACCGTGTGTGGCTAGATGCCCTCACATACAAGTTACACAACCTGGGGTTACCAGGCTACATCACTAACACGATCAAATCCTACCTAACAGGTAGACACTTTGTCGTTCACGTTTCTGGCACATTATGCACCAGCCGCCCTATAAGGGCTGGCGTACCACAAGGGTCCCTTTTGGGCCCCACTCTATTCAACATTTATGTAAACGACATACCCACTACACCCAACACGATACTGCGATCCTTACACAAAGCGCATTTGTTGGTTCAGCTATACAACACTTACAAGAACACCTACAGGCATTAGAGGCTTGGCTTGTCAAGTGGAGAATTAAGGTTAATGTTGAGAAAACATACGCTATATTGTTTACAACAAAAAAAGAAATTTCCAGTCTGCCTGCAGATGTATGGAGAAAGCATCCCCTGGGTCAAGCAGGTCCCTTATCTTGGGGTGATCCTCACTAAATCTCTTACATGGGACCCACACATTACAAATATTATCAAGAAGTTTCGAGCTAGTAAAGCTTCACTCTTACCCTTAATTGCTCGAAACAGCGTTCTATCTATAGATAACAAGTTGCTCATTTACAAATCTATGTTACGCCTCATTCTGAGTTATGCCTGCCCGGTATGGGCATACTCTTGTAAATCACTTAGAAAAAGACTGCAAGCAGCCCAGAATGGGGCAATTAGACAAATTTGCAATGCCCCCTGGTGTGTTAGGAATAGACAGCTCCATAAGGAGCTAAAACTTGAGGAACTTGAGGAAACTTGAGAACTTATTACAGCCGCCTATCGCGGAATTTTTATGACAAGCACGAGGCTATTGACAATCCTGCGACAACTAAGTATAATTAAGACACAATAACACGCCGAATAAATACTAATTCAGAAGTCAAACAACAAAAATCAGCGTTATACCTACAAAATTTTCACAGGACTAGTTTCGATGGTTTTACCGAACCATCATCTTCAGCTGCAAAACCGCAAATGAAAATGACACTTTGTCGATGATGGTTCGGTAAAACCATCGAAACTAGTCCTGTTAAAAATTTTGTAGGTATAACGCTGATTTTTGTTGTTTGACTTCTGAACTAAGTATAACTATGATGTAAATAATCCTATGAATATTAAGCGCCCGAGGGACATTATGTGTGTTAACCTACTTTAACTTCTGTGTGTAATGACTGATTATTATTATTATTATTATACATATATAATCTACAAATTTCTGTACTGTTATTGTATTATATATTATTTTTTTAGTATCATGCATGTTGTCAGTTTAGCGACACCAAAGTAGCGCACTTACCTCTTTTGTTTTACCATGTTTGTCTATGTTCTTTTTCCAGCTCTACCACTCGACAGCTTCTGTGCTTGACTGGCTTTCTATCCAGATATAGCTATAGCTTTAAGCTACCGTTAGGAGATATGCTGTTAAAAAATTATGTACCATTACCTGATAATTATGTATATCCACAACATTTTAAGATATGTTCGTTAATGCATTCAATTATAATTCGCATATATTCGAAACTAAACTATAATTTGTTCGATGAGGGGTAGGGTTAGTAATAGCCAGGTACCCTGGTGTCTGGCACCACTTTATATGTCGTCGTTGAGAAGGAATACGGTATCGTTTCATTGACGTTGCGCAATAGGGATCAAAGTTCGAAATCGTATGAGTTAGAAGCTGCCATAACTGAATATATATCTACACTCATGTTCATAAATTAAGGATAATTCGGAGTCACGCGGAAATCGAACTCTAAAATAAATATATCACCTGTAAAATCCCTACACACATCTTCAAGAATCATATGCAAATTTCACGAAGTAACCAGATGACACCGATGGTACGTCACAATAACGAGAGTGTAAGAGAATGATATATAAGGAATACAGGCAAAGAAGTAAAATTTTTCGTAGGCGCTTTATAAGCATTTCAGTGCAATAACCGAATAGTTATAACACAAAGGACGCATTTGGATGATTTTTTACGTGGTAGAATTATCGGCCGCCTGGAATGTGGGTGTATCCAACTGGAAGTATCAGACGAACGTGGAATTGCCCAGAATGTCATCTCCAGGCTTTGGCAACAATTCCAAGATGATGGTAATGTGAGTAGACGTTACAGCA